CCTGCAGAAGCTTTGGCATGCTGCAAGGCTTCGCCTGCGGCATGCCCGGAATAGGAATCTGCGTAGAGCCAGATCCCAGAAATCGGACCCTTAATGGGTTCCAGTTTACGCAAGACTTAATGCAAGACAAAGTCTTGCATACAAATCGCAGCAGCGGGTAAAAACAGAGCAGGAACACTACTACTACTGCTACTACTATTTATGTATATAAATATACCTGGGATCCACCACCTTTAGCATGGTCCGTCGAACGATGGTGGAAGGCAAAGGCTTCCAAATTTCATGTGCCTGCAACATGTAGTCATGATGAGTTTCTGGCTCCAGCTTTGTCACAGAAAGGCTTGCCTTCTCGTCTAGAACTTCCAGAGAAAGGCTTCGCCTTCTCGTAATGGAAGCTCCACCGCACTCACACGTGCTGCGCCGCATGTCGGAACATATCGAGGAGGACGACTTGGAGACGCAAAGCATGATGGAGGACCCGGAGCCTGAGCAGTTGGAAAATCAGGTGTACTGGCTCCAGCTGCGGATCCAAACACTGGAAGCCACGATCAAGAAGGAGCGCGAGGAGAAGAAAGAACTTCAAAAGCTTGTGGACGGGCTTAAGTGCACGGTGCGTGCATTGTATGACGCAGTGCAGGATGTGACAAAGATGAGTGATGATTTTGGTGCCATCCTGAAGCGGTGGGACCGGCAAGAGCCATGAGCCGTGAGCTGGACAGGGAAGCCTTGGACACTGTAGCCTCTGTCGACAGGCATGTGGTTATGCTGAAAAATGCAAAGCGCAACCGGTTGCACTATGTATTTTGCTACGAAATCAATAGCTTAGAGACACATTGACTTTTCCCAGGTACTACTACTACTACTACTACGCATAAACTATAACTTCGTGCTGCTTGTCAGGAAGCCACAGCATGGTGTGATGCAACCGTTGGCTCAAAGTCAGGTTTTGCTCTCGCTGCATGAGGGCATCGCCTCATCAGCCGTGGATCGGTGCTCCATCCAGTCTGGGAAACAAACAAGCTTACCTGTTTCTGTGCATGGAAGAACTCGATGCACAACCTGCTGCACTTTGGGTTCTGGGCATCAATCGGAGTTGGATTCTAATCTGTAGCTCAGCATGCCTAGCTAAAGCATTGTTGCAGGCTTTGGCCTACCATCTCTCCTTCGGGGTTTCCGATTTGGCCATCACAAAAAGAGGCATCGTACCAACGCAATCCCAAAGCCAATGCAGCTGTAGAAAATCTTTGCTGCCATGGCTGGCTGGAAATGCAAAAGCTGCCCTCGACTAACTTATCGCCGACCCCCAGCTAATGTCTGCAAGAAATGCGATCCGGGCAACAGAATCGGCAAGCACAACCGGAAGGTGCCTCATTTCAGGCTCCGGAAGAAGACTTCTGTGCAGATGACCCATCTCTTCCGGTGGCAAGCAATGCCAGTACAGTCTTCTGCTGCTGCTGCTGATTATCAGTTTTTTTTCCAGGCTTTGGCGGGGGAGCTCGATGTTTTGAAGGCTATGGCTGCAAGGACAGGGCTCAAGATGTCCGTGGTTCACGGTGTTCTGGCTGTGGCTTATGCTTGGCTGGAGAAGATCGAGGGATGCAGGGTTCCACTCCCATCCTCAATGAGAATATGTGGCTTGATTTCTTTCGCCATTGCCAATGAAGCACAGTGCGATCCGGATGTCGTGAGACCAGCCTATCGCAAACACAAGAGCATTGCTGTGAAAGAGATGAGGAGCTGCGAAAGCCGTTGGGTAAATGTCATTGGTAACCTATAGATGCCCAATGAAGTCTTCAGATCCCGCACTGCAGGACCAAGGGCAGGAGGACCAAGGGCCGGAAGAGCCCGCAAGCCCAGCAGCTGCTCTGCAGGACCAAGGCCTGCAGCACCAAGGACCGCAAGAGCTTTTCCTCAACGAGCTGGACTGAGCAGGCTACGGGTTTGCAAGGCTCTGCCTGCAGTAGTTTGGCATGCTGCAAGGCTTCGCCTGCAGCATGCCCGGAATAGGAGTCTGCGTAGAGCCAGATCCCAGAAATCGGACCCTTAATGGGTTCCAGTTAATGCAAGACAAAGTACAAAGTCTTGCATACAAATCGCGGCAACACTGCAGAAACTAGTTTCGCAGTTGATTGTTGAAGCCTTGGACACTGTAGCCTCTGTAGACAGGCATGTGCTTATGCTGAAAAAATGCAAAGCGCAACCGGTTGCACTATGTATTTTGCTACGAAATCAATAGCTTAGAGACACATTGACTTTTCCCAGCTAATTTGTTGCTTCTGCTGCTACTACTGCTACTTCTACTTCTAGTACTATACTATTACTGCTAGTACTACTGCCTCTGTAGACAGGCATGTGGTTATGCTGAAAAAATGCAAAACGCAACCGGTTGCACTATGTATTTTGCTACGAAATCAATAGCTTAGAGACACATTGACTTTTCCCAGGTACTACTACTACTACTACTACTACGCATAAACTATAACTTCGTGCTGCTTGTCAGGAAGCCACAGCATGGTGTGATGCAACCGTTGGCTCAAAGTCAGGTTTTGCTCTCGCTGCATGAAGGCATCGCCTCATCAGCCGTGGATCGGTGCTCCATCCATGGCCGAAAAGCATGTGCGAGACATGCTGGACTTTGTGGCGATGCTCCGGAAATCGCCTGGCATGGACGAGGGCCGTGCAGAGAAGATGGAAAAGAAACTGCTGCAGCAGCTGGAGGAGCTGCCTGGAGCAGTGAGCTTTCAAGAAGCCACACGTGCCATGGAGAAGGTGTCCGCGGCAGATGTGCCGGATGGCTTTAAGCAGGACATCGTGCGATGTTTGGAGGAAAAATCGAGGCGACGGGTTCCGCCGAGAGTTCCGCCACCACGCGGGAGCTCAAGGGCAACCAAAAGATGCAACAGCATCGTTTTTTCTACAACTTCCTGGTGCAAGCGGAGTGGGATGCCATCATGAACCCGAGAGCCTCCGCGAGGAGCAAGCAAAGGGCGGTGGCCAACAGGCTACAGCTCCTGGGCTTGGTGTATCCGAGGGAGGCAATCTTCAAGCAGGCCACTGCCATCTTGCTGCTTGGCAGCCACGATGGTGCTCCGGAGCATCTGAATGTGAATTTTGTTACGGCCTTAGACCTGCTGCAGGAGCTGAAGGACCTGTGCAGGTCTTCGTTCGACAAGTCCAAGTTCAGTGGGCTCAAGGACTACCCGGAGAGTGCGAGAGATCTCCCGAGTGATCTCTTCAGGGCGGCCTACGGGGAACAAGCGCCGGCAGCTTGTCCCATGGACTTGCCGGCCTTGCACGGGCTTACCAAAGCCCTTGCTGCGAGGAGCACGCACAACAGTGTGCAGCAAAAGGGCTTTGGGCAGCAGCTCGGCAAAAAGGACAGGTGCCTTCAGGAGAACATGCACGGTGCCCTGTTAGGGCACCTTGGCAACCTCTTGATGAATGCCATGGAAGGGAACGGCGTCCCTGGCCTGCGAAATTTCGCTATGACGAAGAAGCGGAAGATGTTGGAGGACGGAGAAGCCTCCGTGCCGCTTGAGCTCCAGCTCCCAAGCAAGCAGCTGGCTTTGAAAGACAAGGACAAGGTGGCGGAGAAGGACGAGGAACAGCAAGCAGAGGACTTGGAGGAGGACGAAGAGGCTTCGCCCTTGAAAACGCCTGCCGAGCCTAAGGCCCGGCGCAGTGTCGACGAGATGGTCTCCAAACTCCAGGACCAGCTCGCGGCCAACAAGGGAAATCCAAGCAGCACACCTGCCAAAGCAAAGGCTGAAAAGGAGTCCGAGACGACTCCTTCGCCCAAGCCGTCGAAGCCGGCGAAGGGCACACCTGCCAAAACAAAGCCTGCCGGAGGAAAGGGCGCCGGCCAGGCAGCTGCAGCTGCAGCCCATGGGAAAGGCAAAGGCAAGGGCAAGGGGAAGAAGGTGCTGACAGCTTTGCCCAAGTACCCGGGCACGGCAAAGAAGCCGCCGGTGTGGTTGCAGACCTGCAAGATCTACACGGATACGACCACGAATGCGTGGAGGGTCCAGATCTGGGGCGACAAGAAGGACAAATCGTTCAAGTTTTCGGACAACCCAAAAGCTTCTTGGCAGCGGCTCAGCGCCTACGTGAGCGAGCTCTAGATGTCAGTGGCCTCGCCCTGCATCTTGCATGTAGGTCTACCGGCGGCCTCGCCCTCTGCGTGCGCTTCCGCATTTGGCAGTGGCTTCGCCCGGCAGTCTTTAAAGAGCATGTGCGACGGGGAACCGCACGCAGAAGAAAAAAGATTGTAGAACGGAGTTGGTTTAACCCCCAGCCCTAAATGCATGTTCAACCCTGTACATAATCTGTTACAGGCTTTCCCTGCGTGGCCGTTTGTCATACAATATAATTTGAATGCTGGCAGATTTTGGCATTCTGAACACTGTTTTTTCACCTCTACATGATTTTTTGGACCGCCGCAGTACCTCAAAATGCTTTGCTCGTGATGAATTTTTGCACCCCTCATGATCGCAAAATGGTGCTCGCGAAACGCATTTTCTGACCACCTATATACCTCAAAATGGTTTTCTCGTGACGAGTTTTTGCGACCCTCATGATCCCAAAATGGTGCTCACCAAACCCATTTTCTGACCGCCTATATACCTCAAAATGATCTTCTCGTGACGAGTTTTTGCACCCCTCATGATCGCAAAATGGTGCTCGCTAAACCCCGAAATGTGTGCTCGCTAAATCCCCAATTTCGGAGTTATAAGTCACTTATAAGTCCGACTTATAAGTCCACCAAAACTCCACTTATAAGTCCGAGATAACTCGACTTAACAAGTCCAGTATATCTCGAGTTATAACTGACCAAAGCAAAAACCCGCCAAAGAATTGGCCGCCTCCTCGACAGCTCGAGCTTGGGGATCGGGGTCGTGGCCGAACTGGTCCATGCCGTGAGTGGCCTCGTCCTCCGTCGCGCGAATCCAGCGCGCAAGCCGTGGGAGGTTGCATCCTCCCGCCACCGCTGCAGTCTGGCTTTAGCCGCCCGGTGTGCCTCCTCCACCGCCTTGTGGCATCTCCGCCAGCTTGCCATAGCCCTGGTCGTAGGCCTGGATAATGTCCGGGTCGCGGCGGGCCAGAGCGTATACGTCCTTCGCTCCGCCGTGCTGGAATGGGCACCTCGCCCGTCTGCCAAAGAAGATGCCCGACGCGCCACGCGACGAAGCCTCCGTTCCCACAAAGTCTGGGCCTTGGCAATCTTAGCGTGGTGGTCCTCCTTGAGCACAGGTTTGCCCACGATGCCACGAGGAGGTGCCGTGGGAGCCTGAGGCGTCGCAAGGAGCTCCTCCGCCGCCGCAGACAGCGAAGCCCAAGCCGAAGTAGTGTTGCCCGCGGCCAAGTGGTTCACGTAGTCCCGCTCATGGATCGGCCACACATCGCTCCAATCCTGCGCCGGCTCGGGAGTGAGGTACCGCTGAGCCTGCCAGCGCCATCCTCGCAGCCCACTTTGCAGCGCCACCCAATACGACACCACATCATGATCCGCCGGCCCCAAAGCTTGCTGCCTGCCGTCCACCGCCATGTCGCCATTGTCCAGCCTCCTTGTGCCCTTCTGGTCCACAAAGGGGTCGGGGTCCATAGCATAGACCCGGCCAGCAGCCAGCATGGTTGCTAGCGGTTGTTGCCGAGCCTCGCGATTCCAGTCACCGAGTATCATGAAGTCCTCAGCAGTCGAGCCCGCCCATTCACAGACGGCACTCACCATGGTTTTGTTGAGGCTCTCATCATTTGCAGGGAAGTAGCCATTCAGGATGAGAAGTGGTCGCATGCCAGGTCTGTGCATCTTTGCCGCCATGAGGCGCCCGTCCCACTTCAGCTCCGAGGGCAGCTGGATCTGCTCGATGGGCCAATCCGCAATGATAGCAACTCCACCGCTCGGCTGTCCTCGTGCATCGCACCCCTGAGGGCCTAAAAGCAACTGCCAACCAGACTGCCGCAGCGCCTGACGAATAGCATGGAGGCCCTCGTTGGTAACACGCGTTTCCTGAAGGCAAAGAATGCGAATGCCCTCGTTCACGGCCATATACCCATGGTGCGAACATTGCACGTACCAATGCGGACGCCCTCAGCGGGCGCCATGGCTCCCACGAAGGCCCGCCTCCAAGATGGCCCGATCCGCCACATGGTCCTCCGCCTCAGTGTTGCGCTCCGCTGCAATGTCACTGGCCGCACGCCCCCGGATGCCCGCCTCTGTAGCAAAGTCCCGAAGCTCAGCAATGCCCTTGTCATGTCGGCGCCGTTTGGCAGGGTGGCACATTGGCATTGGAGAGGTTGGTCCAAAGTCCCCCGCAACGCTGGCAACCGAAACGAATTTCGAATCCCTCCCCCTTTGGCCACGGCAGCGCATGTAGGATGTGCTCCCCATCGGCCTCGACCGACTGTCCCGCAACCGTGCCCTTGACAATCTCCTCCGTGTGGGCGCCCTCCTGGAGCTCCTTCTCGATGTTGGCAACGAGCGCCTTGCGTCGATGCCCCCCTGCTCCCAGTGAACACTCAAGCTTGCCAAGCTTAGCAACCGAATCCGCCATCCGAGTGCATTTGCGGCATATCACCTGAGCGACCGCATTGCGCTTTTTCCTGCCCTCCTTTGGTGTCCGCGTGCACGGTAGACGGAGGACGACGACATCATGCTCGCCCGCCTTCCCCGCCTTGAGATCAATCAGGCGGCTGGCCATTGCAGCGCTCAATCGCGCCCCAGTGGCCTTCTTGAACGCATTGTTCGCATAGGAGCGGCCAACGAAGACGCCCTTCGGGACCTCGGGATGGTACTCCTCTCTGTGCCTGAGCTTGGCCGCGTACTTCATGTCGGTGGTGGCCTCAAGGTTATTCAGCAGTCCAAGCCCACAGCCATCAACAGGGCATTTCCAAGAGCAGGTCGCAGCATCATAGGGCGCTACATTCACAGCCGGCGCCGGGTGCAATGATAGCTGTCGCTTGAGCTCCGGGTGGTAGTTGATGATGTGGGTCTGCTTTTTGCGAATCCAGTCTGAGCCCGGAGGTGTGCGCCATTGGCATTCCGGGCACTTCCATCCATCACGCCGCTTGGGCCTCCGTGTCCATGCCACCGGTGCGGGTGGTTGTTGTTGTTGTAGATGAAAAACGACATCAGCTTGGACTCCCGAAAGAGCAGCTAGACGCCAACGCCACCCTCAGCAGCTTCACGCCGATTGGCGCCGCTGCTGCCTGATCCTGTTGACGAAGCGATCATGCCAGTCCTGCGTAGCTGCTCGCTGAGCTGCCACAGCCTCCCGCGCCCACTCACAAACCTCTCGTCAGCGGCACGAGCCGTGTGAGCCACTGCTTGACTGGAAGGCTGCAGAGCCGAGCCAGCAGCAGCGTCTGCCCGCCTATTAAGAGCTCGACAAGCGTCGGCATCAATCCAGCCTGAGGGAGGCGTCCAAGAGGCCTGCTTGTTGTGAGCCGGAACCCATGCCACTTGCAGCCAGCGCACCGCCTGTGCCACACGCTTCCACGGCCTCCAAGGGTCACCATTTTCGCACGCGGCCTCACCGCCAAGCAACCTGCCAGCGACAGCTTGGTTGTCCACGAGAAGTCGCAGCCACCGTCCGTGAACAAGGAGCGCTTCAGCCAGTATGAAAACTGCAACGCGCTCACCTTCCGCCGCCGTCTGGTCCGGTCCTTCAACAATTGCTGTCCCAGTCCACCAGCGCGTTCGCGTCCAAAGCTCGTTGCGGTTGCCAACGCCAGCCACGTCTGCCACTCTGTAGTCCAACGTCGTAGGTCACGAGGTCGTGGTCTGCAGGGCCGAGGTGTTGAGCTCGGCCGTCCACCGCCAAGCCCGCAGAGGAGAGCCCGAAGTCCAAAAGCCTGCCCGTGTACGTGCCGTCCGCGCGTCTGTGAGTGCCCTGGGTCTCGAAGAACGGGTCGTTGTCCATGGCGTAGACAAGGCCGCCCGCCAAAAGGTTGCAGAAAGGCTGCTGGTTAGGAGTTCGGTTCCAGTCCGCCATGAACACAAAGTCTTCGCCGGTAGTGCTTGCCCATTGAAGCACCGTTGACGCGATGTGCTGGTTGAGCTCGTCGTCATTGGCAGGCAGGTAGCCGCAGATGACGAGGAGTGGCCGCTGGTTGGGGCGGTGGGCCTTTACCGCCATAACGCGAGTGTTGAAGCTCTCCGCCACAGGGACCGTCACCATCTCCACCGGCCAGTCGGAAACGATAGCCACACCACCACAGGCCTTGCCCTCGGAGTCGTAGGCGAGAGGGCCAGGTAGAAGACGCCAGCCCTTCGCGTGAAAAGCTTGCCGCTTGGTCTCCTGAAGGCAAAGGACATTGACTGCCGCGTTAGCCGCCATATCCATCACTGCCCCCATTTTGCCCGTCAAAGAGCGCACGTTGCAAGTACCCACACGCAGCTTGGGAGACTCAGGCATGTTGCCCCAATCCCCTCGCCAGCTCGTCGACAGCAGCTTGGTCCTCCGCCGTGCCCCCTCCGTTCTCGCCGATCAACTTCAAGACCGTCGTTGCCGCATCGCCCGCAATGCCCCCGTCCTTCTGGATGCCCTTGAGCTCCGCAACCTTGGCCCGGATGGCTCGCCGCTTGCTCGGCTTGCAGTCCTTGCCCTCCACGTCGCGCTGCCGCGTCCAAGAGCCACCACACGTCTTGCAGACAAAGCGGACCTCGAAGCGACCTCCCACCAACGGCCATGCCACAGCGCACAGCGCGTGCTTTGCAACAGGGCCCTCGTCCGTCTCCTCCAGCAACTTCAAAAGGTAGCGGACGTCAGACTGCACGCCCTCGTCGAGTGAGCCCTCCTCCAGCGTCGTTCGCAGCCGCTTGAGAAGCGCGGGGCGCTTCGCACCAGCAGTGTGCGCCTTGCACGAAAAGCCCCCAAGCGCCACCACCGTAGAAGCCAGGCGTTTGCACCGCGTGCACACGACTTGCGTCACAGCCCTCCTCGTCTTGCCCTTCTTGGTCCCCCTTGTCGGCGGCAGCTTCACGAACACGACGTCGTGCTCTCCAGCCTTGCCAGCGCGAACTTGGTGAAGACGCCGAGCAACCCCAGCACTGAGCTTGGCAGTCGTAGCCTTCCGAGCGTTTGCGGCCCTGTCTCGCGCCAGGCGGAAAAGGGCTTTAGGGGCCTCCGGGTGAGTCTCCTCTCTGTGTCGCAGTCGGGCCAGCCTCCTCGCGTCCTCGGAAGCTTCTGTAGCCGGCAAGCCCATGTCGCATCCATCAACTGGACACTTCCAACAGCAGGTTGCTTGGTTGTAAGGGACCACACACAGCGCCGCAGTCTTCAGGTTGAGTTCCGCCTTGAGGTCAGGGTGGTAGTTGTCCACGTGGGCTTGCTTTCGCTGCACCCAAAGCCTGCCCGTAGCCTTCCAACCACACTCCGGGCACTTCCAGCCGGAGCGCGCAGACTTCACACACCGCTTGCGCCCTTGCGGCGCCACAGGCTCCGGAGGCTCAGGCACCTCCTCAACGGCAGCTTGCTCCTCGGTGGTGGAACCCAGGGAAGAGGTAGCCGTCGTCCGCTGCCCTGTCAAAGCCTCAGTGCCCGCCTTCCTCGCTGCAAACAGGTAGCTGCGGATGTCTTTCGGCCTCGCGGTGAAGCACGTAGATTCCGAAGCTGCCCTGCTCACCTCGCCACTGCCAGAAGCACGCGCCTCGCCCGAACACTGCGCCCTCCTCGTCGGAACGTGCGTAAAAACAGTGACCACCTCGGTGAAGACCGTCTTCTCGGAGAAGTCGTCGCCACCAGCACCCTGGGAACCGCCGCCACGAGGAAAGTCGGTGACGTGGCCCTCAGCATGGCCCATGCACAGCGCGTCAGGCAAGGTATTGCCGTCAACGGGGCACAACCAATCGAAATGCCGTAAACCAAAGAGCGATGCGATCACGAGCGCTGGTGTTGTATGCAGCCTTGGCAAGCCGCATCGGCGCTGGGATGATATGAACCGCAACTTTGTAAGCCTTGGAGGCCCCGTAGGCTTCAAGGCTGCCTGCCCATCGTCCGTTCTCAGACATGTGATCAATGTACTCGGCAAAGCTGTCCATTTCCTTGCCTAGAGAATCCTGCCCACTCCAAAATGGCTCATACGACGACTGGTGTTTGCGCATATGGGCACAAATCTCTGCACGGACACGGTTGGCAGGCAGGGCGGGCTCGTTGCGGAGCCGCCCCAGGGCCTGACCGATGACAGTATAAAAGCAATTCCCGTCCCGGTCAACGGCCTGCAACTTGACACCATCGGGGATGAGGCGCAACTTCTCCGAAAGAGCCTGCTTCTTGTTGGGGGGCTCCTCAGAGCCACCCTCGCCCTGCTTGGACTCCGGCTTGTTGCCCTGCTGTACGAGCGGCGCCTTGCTGAAGATGAAGGGCTTCCGGTCGATGATGGGTTTGGTAGCCCTCGTAAACCCAGGTCTCGAAGCGAGCATCCAGTAGCTAGTCTCGCCCTCGCCTTCCTTCACGAAAATCTGAAAAGCATCGGCTCAGTGTGTGCCACCTTGGCTTTGATGAGCCAGTGAGCCCTTCCTTTCCTCAATGTTTTTCTGATGACTGCCGCCTCTTCAATGCCCTCCTGCTCCTGGACAAGCATGGACACCAAGCCATCGCTCCACTCAACAGGTGTGCCTTGCAGCGAAAAGTAGCGCACAAAGCCTTTGCCAGAGCTCGCACTTGCCTCAGTGCGCAGGCCGATCTGGCGCTTGCCTATGAAGGCGCCAAAGCGAGGAGCGGCCTCAAGCGATCGCTTGAGAGCCTCCAGCCAGGACTCTTTCGCCTCAGTATCGAACCACTGAACGGTGCAGTCAACGTTGTGGTCTCGCCCTGCAGGCTCCAAGAAGGTGCCATTGACGCCCGAGAAGCTGAGGAGCGTCTCCACCGCCTTGACCGGAACACGAACCAAGCCCACCACAGCCGGGGAGCCCAAGCGAGTGGGCGAAGCCCCAAGCGTCCTTGACAACTCCATGCAGATCACTCTTCAAAGTGCCCCGCACCCATCTCTGGACGGCAGCCTTCGGAGCCGAAGAGGCCCTGTCCCAATCTGCGGTTTCCAAGAAAGGCTTGCCGAAGACGATGCGCATGGTAGTCGTGGCTTCGCCTGTGGGAACAGCCTTGGCAGCAGCAGGCGCATGCTTCAACGTGGGCAATGGCATGCCGGGCGTAAGGAAATCGATATAGGCAAAATGATGAATGCGAACATCGTTGCCGTCCTTGCCCTCCCCAACAATGGGGAGCTTGAGCTTGCCCTCGGAGTCTGCCCAGACCAATCTGGCTGAGCACTTGGCACCCGCACCTGTAAGCATCATCATCAATGCATCGGCCTGTTCCGCATCCCGCACTTGAACTAACACGGAGCCGTTCAAACTGTTCAGCTGTGAAGCTGCCTTGTCGTAGGAAAAGATTGCGCCATTCCAGTCACGGTCACGAAGCTGAGGGCGAGCGGGCGCAACCGTGGAAGTCTTCGCAGACTTTCCCTGTCCTTTGGGTGTCTGTGGAGCTCCTTTGCCCTTCCCTTTGCCAGGAGAAGCGCCTGCCCCGCTCACCACAGCAGCGTAGCTGTTGGCCTTGCCGCCGCCTTTGGTAGGACCCGGCTCGGGCGGATCTGGCTTCTGGCGCCCCCGGCGGCGAACAGTCTGAAACCCATCACTGTCGATCTGGGTGGCATTGCCACCCCCTGCATCAAAGGACACCCGTCTGGGAGGCGGCTCAACCTCATCAGTGGCCCCACCGATCATGGTCGCCATCAGGTTTTGAATGCCCGACAGCTGTGACTTGATCGCCGGGTTATCACCAGCAAGAACCGCAACCATTGACAAAAGAAGCTGGATGATCGTCTGCAAAGCATCCTGAGTCATCTGCTCAGTTTGCTGTCGCCGATGCTGCACCCGGTCCTGGATTAGCAGCTTCGCCGATGCGGACACCCAACAGGCTTGAGTGCGGTCGGCGTCGCCACCAGGAGAATCCAGCGACTGAGTAGAAAAGAAAGGCCCTCACGTAAACACACTGAAAGGATTCAAGGCTGGCAGTGGCCTCGAGTTGATTCTGGTTGCTCCCAGCTGCGACCCATCGCATGACGTACAACCTCAGGCAACGGTCACCCTGGCCAACCTGCAGTGGAGGTGAGTGCTCCTGACCAGCCTTTGCAAGCTGATCCCCTTCAGGCCTCATGCAAATGGAAAGCCAGCCTGTCAACATAACATTGAAAAACATCCCAAGGAAAAGTAGCCCACAGCTCCATAGCCAACATCTGCCACCATTCTGTGGCGCTCTAAGCGCCTCACCCTGCAGACACTTCGCGGGCCCGTGGAGCGCACAACGGGCCTCCGCAGCAGCCAAGGACTTGTCCAGGGGGCGGTCTGCGTTGCCGCGGAAGTATTCGTCATCCCACAACACCAACATGGAGGAGGACCGTGCAACGAATACAGGGAGCGCTTGGATCTGACGATGTTTGAAGTCGTGGTCTGTCTGGTGAATACACGCCCGGTCCATCCATATCGACATGGGCCGCAACCAATTCACAACGAGCTGGCCCAAAAAGAAGACCACCAGAAACACAGCGATCGGGAAAAAAACCAGGATGGGCAGCAACAGGTGATTTCCTCCGAGGTTTGCGACGCCATGTGCGGAGGCGATCATGCCCGCGGTAGCCAGAACCCAAGTGGTCAGGCAGCACACGACGGCTGCTGTCAGATTCGAGTAGAGGCACAATGCCAAGTACTTTGCCCAGCGGCCGGAACCCCAGCGATGGCTCACAAATACGTCCACATGCTCGACACAGGCAGACGACTCGAAAATGCTCGATCCGGCTTGAAGCACCTCCTGCTTAGTGGGAATCCTTGCAGAGCGAAAACCACCTGCACCGAGAAGACCTGGCAAACCTTGAATGAAAATGGCCCCCCGCTGGGCGAGAATGCGCGGCACAGTGGTGGCACGGAACAGCCCTTCTGCGCACACATCATCGAAAGACTCTTGTCGGCGGAGTCGGTCCATTGGCCGTAATCTGATTGTCTTGAAAACAAGCTGCGGCTGCATTGAAAGCACGGTAAGACCTTGGAGGCAGCATGAACATTAACTGGAAAAGGTTTGTTATGTCAAGGGATGCTGACGAGAAACATGCACGCACACACACACACACACAAACACTCACACACTCACACACTCGCATCTTAAGACTTCGTGGGATCATTCCCAAGTCGGAGCTTTTCCGCACGCATTCCTGCAAGCGCACTTACATTCACGCTCTCCTTATCGTGGGGTTACTCAGCAAAGCCTTTAAGCTGCTCTCACAATGCTTGTGCCGTGGGCGGAGACATGCTGTAGCAGTTGGCGTCATGTTGAGTCATGCTTGTTTCTTCTGCTGTTTGCCAAGAGGCATGCCTCTACATGCAGCCTTTTTGGCTACCCTGAGACCCGCCTTGGAAATCTCGTCCGCCGACTTGACAGGCACGATGTTTTCCTTCTCTTCCTGGCGAAAGCAGAATATGAAGCCCTCTAGTTGTAACTTCTGGCCGAGAGTCTAAGAGGGCAGGGCCCCAAGCTGCTAAGTCTCACGACCTCTAATGAACACGAAATGCCATAATCCTGTGGCTTCTTTCTCAGAAATCCTGGGCGGCTGGAACCGAAGGACCCCGAACCATGCAAAGCCTCAGCGGTTGTTTGCACAATCTCTGGAAATCTACCGGGTATATGTGAAGGCTTGCCTCAACAAACCCGGGGTGAGACGTGCCCATGCACAGCCCGGCACATGCTGGGACGCAACAGATTCGATCCGTCCATTTCCTACTCGTAGCCATGTCATGGCTCCGGAATTCTGCTGCTTCTGCTGTAAAGCTCGATACGGGGACCACGGGTTTGAGTAGGGAAGCAATGCGAAGCTCGGAGCAAGGATCGTGTCTCGGCACGGCTGCTTTACTGCAGCTGGTCTCAAGGATGATAACAGCACGGGCACAGGTTCGTGATTGTAGGGTCGGGCAGCAGAAACGGCCGGGCAACTGATTTGAAAATTCGGTTGGAGCTTCTGGCGTCCAGATGGCTTGCGCCAAACAACAGCGATCTCGTTTCTTAAGTCTCAAGAATGTTCCCTCTTAAGCACGGGGTCCCGAACATCTAGCCTCCAACAATGGGATCTGTATAGCAAAACGGTCATGCATTCTCTCCTAGTGAGGCGAAGGAAACTCTCCGGACTCTTTGAACCCCCAGCTCCCGGTGAGACAGTGGCTTCGCTAGATGCTGAAGGCGTCTGCTGCATGCAGACGCCGGTATGTGCCATCTACCGAAGAACTTGTAACTGCTTCATCAGTGCCAAAGAGGCATCGCAGCTGAAGTAGGAGAAGGATTATCAGCAGAAGGTAAAAGGGCAAAAAGCCAATCAAGCCCCGCTGGAAGACATTGCGAGTAAGTCCATACACCATTCCGGTGCACAGGGAGCCATAGCTGAAGGTTGTAATGGCACTGACAGCTGCCAAGATGCCCTGTAATGTCTCTGACTTGACGGCGGAAGCATGCTTTAGCATGCGAAGAAGAATAGGATAGTAAGTAGGGAAAACCAACCAACTGACAGCAAGCCCATATAGCGTCTCAGATAGGAACGCCTCTTCGAGTAAGGGAAGCCCATGGCGGGATCTGCAACCGTCGTCGCATAGGAAACTATCCACGGGCAAATAAAAGGTCATGGGCAGAGTAGCTACCAAGCACATGCGGTAAGACACATGGAGCTGACTTCCGATACTCTCCATGACCGCAGAGTGAAGCGGACCACGAATGTAGCTGTTGAAAGCATCCAGCGCTTCCTGATCAGCTTGAATACTAGTCGCATGGATCAGGGGTGTCTCGGACATAGGCGACATAGCGGACGGATTCGAGGTTGTATGCAGGTGTTCGTAAGTTCCAGGAGAGGCCGCCTGAACCACAGGTTCTTCGTCGTGTTGCGACGTGAAAAGCCTCTGGACCTGCTGTTCCACTAGGACTCGGTCAGCCTCTATCGTGCATTGTGCCGCCCGGCAGTCGAAACAAGCCATCTGCTCCAGCATCAGCGCGTGGCCCTGCAGCTTAGCTTTGCAAGCGATGGTCCATGGAATCGATGCCAGCGTGCCCAAAGTCGTTGCCACTACCGTCCAAACCGCACCCATGACAAACGCACCGGATGCCGAATCAAGGAAGCTCGGTGGCAACACTCTTGTGCAGAAGGCTGTGATGGAGTCAACGATTTCTGGTGTGCCATAACTCAGAATGCACCAGCAAACGGCACAGGAGGAATTGGCCAAGACTGTTGACAACAGCCACGGGGCCAGCCAATGCGGCAGAAAATCAACCTTCTCAGCTCCTCCGTAACGTGCAAAGGTGGCCAGTTCTAACTGGCACCAAAGCCGCCGGAAGTATTCGTCATCCCACAACACCAACATGGAGGAGGACCGTGCAACGAATACGGGGAGCGCTTGGATCTGACGATGTTTGAAGTCGTGGTCTGTCTGGTGAACACATGCTTTGTCCATCCATACCGACATGGGTCGCAAGCTGTGCACAGCATGGTGGCCCAAAAAGAAGACAACCAGAAACACCCCGATCGGTAACAGGACCAAAATGGGCAGCAATAGGTGATTTCCTGCGAGGTTTGCGACGCCATGTGCGTAGGCGACCATGCACACGGTAGCCAGAACCCAAGTGGTCAGGGAGCACACGACGGCTGCTGTCAGATTCGAGTAGAGGCACAATGCCAAGTACTTTGCCCAGCGGCCGGAACCCCAGCGATGGCTCACAAAAACGTCCACATGCTCGACACAGGCAGACGACTCGAAAATGCTCGATCCGGCTTGAAGCACCTCCTGCTTAGTCGGAATCTTTGCAGAGCGAAAACCACCTGCACCGAGAAGACCTGGCAAACCTTGAATGAAAATGGCCCCCCGCTGGGCGAGAATCCGCGGCACAGTGGTGGCACGGAACAGCCCTTCTGCGCACACATCATCGAAAGACTCTTGTCGGCGGAGTCGGTCCATTGGCCGTAATCTGATTGTCTTGAAAACAAGCTGCGGCTGCATTGAAAGCACGGTAAGACCTTGGAGGCAGCATGAACATGAAACATACAAGGTATGCCGAGGGATCGGAGCTTTCCATGTCCATGTCAACTTAGCTACCTCGAAGTTCTTGACCTAAACCCTCTCTCTTAAAACCATAAACCGGGATCATGTTCGCAGGGAAGGGGCTGCCACTGCTGACAAAACAAAACACCACACACTTGAAGGCTTTTGCCCAAGAAGCGACCATGAGCCATGGTGCACCACTCTTTAAGAAATCACAAGACCCGTATCGCTGATCAGATCATGGACCCAAACGACCCGGTTTAGGGTTTAGGGTCGGTTCCACGCCTCCGAATGCAGCAAGCCTTTGAAGCGCTCGGCCAACATGTCCTGTCGCAAGCTTGGTATCTACAAGGCGCGGTATCCGTGCCATGAATAGTCCTCACAAGCATCGCAAGAAGCATACACGGTGGGTTGGTGATACTAAGCAGTTGCCACGATCGTTTGTGGACTCAGTTACTTACCCCTCAAAAGGTAGCTGGGCTTCTAGAGCCTGGAACTTGGCGAGCGACTGGTTCCGCGCGGCCACGATCTCCGTGGAGGCCTCCCACAGGAGATGGCCATTCCCGAGCTCAAATGATTCTGTAAACCTGAGGCTTCGCTTTTATGGGACATCTGGACTCGACGATCGAGATTTAGCAGGACTCTACTGCGAGCCAAGCAGCATGGAGGCGTGCTTCTCGCACCCGCCAGGGCCTGAAGGTTGTAAAGGGCGTTTCTGAACCTTCCAGCTCTCCAGCTGAGCTAATTCACATCATTATCTAAGGGCTTCCAGCTCCGAGAACAACGCACCTCACCAGGATCACGAGGTCGTCCGGTCCCAGATCTTCGTCCTCTGATTCCAGAATCTTCGGGAGGTGCGCGTCAAACTGATCGAGAGGCCGGGTTGTTGCCTTGCCCCTACCCTCGCATGGCTGATGATGTCAGTCAGGTGTGGTCGTTTGGGTCGTTCCAGCTGCTGATGCTCGCGTGGGGAGCTGTGGCCTTGGCACGGCTGTTGCAGCAACCTGGCCACACTCACGAATTGCTGCTGCTGCTGCTGCTGCTGCTGCTGCATTTCTAGCGAATGCAGGTATGGCTTGGCGACGGTGGGCCTAAGCTTTTTGCACTTGCCAGCTAAACATTTAACTTCCCGAAACAAAACCCCGTGCCACAGCAGCGCCCGCGACTACGCCCCGTCCTCCGCCATGACTTGCACGGCTACCTGTCATCTTTTACACATGGGAGAGATTCGAGCTTCGGGTTACCCCCCCTTCACTAGAATACTTTGGGTACTGCCCCCCCCCCCCCCCGACAGTAAGAGTCTACAATAGGGCTACTATTAAGGTTCTAGTTACTGAGTGGGGCCAGTACCCAAATGACAGTCTTAACAGGGAGCCCTAAGCTTTAACTTTAACCTCTTTTTTTTCAGCAGGAATCGTTGTCCAGGAGCCCGGTATCGTCAAAATCCACCCTCCTCCCTAGCCTAACCCCAAACCCCCTCCCCCTAGAAACCCTTCTGGCTAAAACCCCTAGGAACCCTAAACCCTGAACCCCTATAAAAACTAAGCTCTAAACCCCCTATCAACCCTAAACCCAAACCCCCTATAAACCCTAAGCTCTAAACCCCCTATAAACCCTAAACCCAAACCCCCTATAAACCCTATAAGCTCTAAACCCCCTATAAACCCTAAACCCAAACCCCCTATAAACCCTAAGCTCTAAAACCCCCTAAAAACCCTAAACCCAAACCCCCTATAAACCCTATAAGCTCTAAACCCCCTATAAACCCTAAACCCAAACCCCCTATAAACCCTATAAGCTCTAAACCCCCTATCAACCCTAAACCCAAACCCCCTATAAACCCTATAAGCTCTAAACCCCCTGTAAACCCTGAACCCAAACCCCCTATAAACCCTATAAGCTCTAAACCCCCTATAAACCCTAAACCCAAACCCCCTATAAACCCTATAAGCTCTAAACCCCCTATCAACCCTAAACCCAAACCCCCTATAAACCCTATAAGCTCTAAACCCCCTGTAAACCCTAAACCCAAACCCCCTATAAACCCTATAAGCTCTAAACCCCCTGTAAACCCTAAACCCAAACCCCCTATAAACCCTATAAGCTCTAAACCCCCTGTAAACCCTAAACCCAAACCCCCTATAAACCCTATAAGCTCTAAACCCCCTGGGTCTGAGGTCCGGCATTGTGATGAATTCGGCTGACAGGCCTGGCGACCATCACCGAAGCCGAGCAGGGAACTCCTCGGGGGGCAGCCACCAGAGGGGCCTTAATCATTGGAATAGGGTTTTGGGGTCCTTTGCAGAATCGTGACAATAGGGAACCCTAGGAATCATAATGTAGGCAATTACCAGGGACCCTATGCGAAGTGGTCGGATGCCCGAGCAGTCTAGTACAGACCGTGAAGGGTACCTTAAGCTAGCATCACTTACCTACCCTTGGAAACCCAAATCTAGGATTGATAGGAGCCCTACGAAAAGAGTAGATTTTAGTACATTGGTAGCAGAAGACAGGAACAAGGAAGGTTAGCGAAGGCAGCGCTTAGAGCTGCATCAAGACTTCTGATGCTCATCCACAATATCCCCAGTAAGCTGGTCCGAAAACGCTCGTCGAAGCTTGCGGCAGTTGTGTTCTTGTTCATCATCCCACTTGCCCATGCGACGGCCCATGTGCATGAGCTGCCCCACCTGAATCTATGTATACAAGTTGGCAGCAGCGTCCCGCAATCCAGAAATAGGCTTACTGCCTATGCGCGTCGCGGAACACATCAGAAAATTCCATATATGAATAGCATGCCGGGCCGGTTCAGCGTTCAGGGTCCTCAAAGTTCGCTCGTCCCGGAGTATGGCGAATTGCTTGCCAGCTTGCCCATCCTCAGGAGGAGAGATCAAGCGAATTTACATTTTACTATATTATACTATACGATGTTTTAGTGTGTTATATGATATTATACAAAGGAGGAGAGTTCTGATGTGGAAAATGCATGCTGCCAGAACGCAGTCCAAACAATATATACCCCAACCACAATATAGAAACTAAAAAGCAGCTCATAACCTAAACGACAATCAGTGCTGTCGATCAAGATCAAGCGGATCTCTGCAAACTCTGCCTCGAAAGGACTCTCACATGAACGTGTACAGGCTAGGCTTTTAAGGTTTACCCAGAGGCTCCATAGTAGTTCCTTTTTGGGAATACCTCATAGGATTTTAAATATGAACCCCAAAAAGGACCTACTATGGAGCCTTAGGGTATGGGGTAGTATTGCATACAGGTTGAGGTTGCATGGGTCATGGCTGGGGACCAGAAGTAACAAAGCACTTCGCACACGTTTCCACGCAGCAGGTGCTCCACATTGCATACTCACTACGTGCTCTCGCGCGCTCGCTGCGGAAGTCTGTACACGCAAGCGAGCGGCCAGAGTGTGAAGGCCTAGAACCGCAAATCGACAGTTCTTCAACAGATATGCCATGTGCTAAACAGTATCGCACTATGTTCAAACGTCTGTAGAGCTGTTGAAGAAAAGTCATGCCACAACACCTACTTCAGTCTTGAAATCTTTTGAATTTTCACAAATGGGCTCCTGTCGGTGCTCCTGGTCGAATACCTTCCTTGCATAAGATTACGGAAATCTGACGGCCTCACATGGGATCCTTTGCCGACCTCGTCGGGGTGTTGTATGTGAGCCTTGGATGCTTGCTCACCCACTCCTCGCCGTGGTTTTGATTTTTGTGGGGGTTTTAGGGTTTACGCTCTCGCAACTCGGACAATCCAGACGAGGTTCTTGGCCGGCAACACAGTAATCTAGAGGGTTTTAGGGTTTAGGGTGCAATTCATGAGTTTAGGGTCCTCGCCACGGCGGGCCACTTTCGGATCTGGCACTTTGCATCGGAGCTCCTGCCATAATCTAGGAGAGTTAACAATTAGAATAGGGCTCCTTTAAAGGGATCCTTATAAAGGATTCTAAACAGGGATCTAAAGTAGGGTTCTATGATATAGGGGCCTTAATAATTCGAGCAGGGTTTTGGAGCCCATTTATACTATTATTACAAGAAGGAAGCCCCCAAAAATAGTGTTGGGAATTACGTAGGCCCCTATGTCCTGGTCTGTCTGGTTTCGTTGGGGTTTTGGGCCATCCTCACAGTCCTAGACACAGGACATGCCGATACACACTAGCAGTGTGTCATGACGTCTGGCACTCCGGCAAAACAACTTGAAGCGGAGGTGACGGATATATATATATATATATATATATATATATAATCCCGATTAGCCTTAATCTGAAGGCCCGATATTTCAAAGGCCACTCCTTCGCCAAAAGGCTCATCACCTCGTCGCAGAGCCCCCAAATCCTGAGGCTCGCCCGTTCGTCGTAGAAGGTCCGCTGCAGGCCGATGATGACCTGAGATTATTGCGGCTTTACTCCCAACCCTAAACCCTGAAATTGGGGCTGCTGGGCTCAGCCATATCGGGTTTTCTGGGGGCGAGTTAGGGCCTGGGTTGGACGGGATCTTGTTACCGCTTTCCTGGTCTATGTGCCAGCCGGGGCGCGACGGGAAAGGACAGTGTATTGCGGCCTAGTGCTATCTAGTATACCTTATAATATATCGTATAAGCTTTTCTCGAGACAGCTCTTGTGCATGGCCCCAGTATCATCATGTACTTAAACGCAACAGGATGTTTCAGTACGGTAGAGAAGAAAGAAACCTTTGACTGGATGGGCCGGCGACGAGCCCTTCACCTTCGCCCTGTGTGTAGCGCTCTGCCACTGCATTTGGGATCTCATCTGAAGTCATCCCGCAAAGGGACGTCCCAAGGCTCACGCAGAGCCGGGCACGAAGGGACCAGGAAAGCAGCCATTGAAGCAAGTCGTGGCGGAGGGTATCGTCCATCATCTTTACCTGGTTCTTGCTGTCGCCCCATGCGCCATGGATCTCATTCAGCTTAGCCTGAGGGAAACCTGCCTTCTGAGCCAAGCGATCGTGGTTCTGCTGGACCCAGTTTCCGATCAGCCCTTTTTCTGCGACGGCTGCCAGCGCATGGTGGGCGAAAGTTGGGGACAGCTCCAAGCGGCTGCCAGTGGAGGCGATCTTCTTGTGAGGTGCGACAGAGCTACTGGCTTTGGAGGCGTAGTCCCCGATGCCTGCATCCGGACGCACGTGTCAACTTCAATGCGGCTTCTTGGACAGATGAGAAGCCCATGCCTGAAGCTGTTGAAAGTCCTGCACCGGTGTAGATCACCGTGTCGGCTCCACTCCGCCTCCACATTTCTGCCAGCATTCGCACCTTCTCCTGGCAAGTGCAAGCAACCCATGCATTTCTCCCACCTGATGTTAAATGACACTTCCACACCCCTCCCTTGTGACAACATCCAACTCAACTCTGGCTCCCCCTTTATTTATGCATTGTATGACTGGCTGCATCACATTGCAGTCCTTCTCGTGCCCGAAAAGAACTACTCCCTCACTATCACAATCGCTAGCACTAGACGATCCACCTATACTCAGACATAACCCATTTCACCAAGGTTCAGTTCCAAGACTAGCAAACACAACTGTGATGTGGGTGCCCGTATCGTCTCGAATGTCTTTCCCCTAGACCCCAAACCCTAAACCTATCCTTCGGAGTCGGACCCAAGCTCAAGGGACCCAGAAGCTGCTATTCGCCTATCTCGGCTTGAACCTCCGAAGCCTCTAGTTGAACTGTCTACCACAGGGGCCAATTACTCGAACAGGCTCTGGGGTTAGTATCAGGTATTTGGTTCATGTTCTACTACTGTACTAGTAGCGCCCCATATTCGCCAAAAAGCTGTCCTGAAGCACGGCCGGCTCGTCCAGATACTCTGAGGCATCGTAAGCCGCATAGCCGGGGCGGGCCTTGCTTCAAGACTGTACTCTGCAAGCGAACGCAGCATTGCACATCCTTCGCAATTACTTCTTCTGTACGTACATCTACGTAAAACATGTGAACACAAAGAAAGGAACAAGCGTATATATATATATATATATATATATATATATTTTTTGGCTCTATATATATATATATACACATGTCTGCATATACATACATGCATACATACATGCAAACATTACGTACGTACATGCATATGTACATACATACATACATACATCTCAATGTCAATGCATCCATGCCTCCAACCCACCCACCCATCCATCCAGCCATCCATACATAGACAGTTACATCGATGCACAGATACATTGATACATACATACCTATCTGCATACATAGACACATTGACACATACATACACACAGACAGAGAGGCAGACATAACCGGACATGCATATATATATATATATATATATATATATGTTGTTACTAAAAAGAATAGTATCAAAGAATAAGAACAAGAATAAGAATAACAATAATAATTAAGAGTAATCAATATATACATTATATATACATATATATATATATATACACACACATACGTGCGCACGCATGTATGCAAATGCGCACTGGGACTTTAGGCCGTTAAGCTTCGCCACAGGTCCGTAAACCAGACCCATTAGTCGTGAACCCTGAACCCTAGACCCCAAACCCTAACAAAACCCTACGCCCAAAGCCCCCAAACCCCAAGGCCCTAAAGGAAACCCTAAGCCCCCAAACCCTAAGGAAACCCTACCTGGACCCCAAAAGTATGTAGAATAATAGCCCTTTATAGGCTTTGGGCCATTATTCTACCTACTCTGGGGGGTCTGGGTACGTCCTAAACCCCTAAAACTCGAAGCTTCGCCTCGCTGTCGCTCTGCGCTGCCACTCGCGGAGGGGCCCAGGAGCTGCTGGCGCCTCCCGGGGATCTGAGCTCAGCTAGGTTCCGGAGTAGCCCTTAGTATAATAAGGGTGTATTTAATACTAGACACATTGGGGAACCAATATTTTTTGCCCAATAGTGCTTACGCCTTTGTATAATAAGAGTTTAACTTTTTTTAAGGTCTAGGGTAGGTCCCTGAGTCTTAAACTGTCGCAACTGGCTCGTCAGGTTCCTGAGTCTTAGGGTTCAGGGGAAAGTAAGGTTTAGGGTTTAGGGTTTAGAGTCATTTAAAGTAGCCTTTTTCCGAATGTTCCCAGGACCCTCCTTGTACCCTCAAATAGGGTATATGGTCCCAAATAGTAGGTATTCAGGGTACAAAAAGGGTACCCTTTTTCCCAATGTTCCCCTAAAACAAAAAGGGTAAAGGGGTACTACTCAGGAACCTGGCCAAGGTTTCGACTCGCACCTTCGACAAAGCAGGCTCGGATTCTTAAGGGCCTCTTTCTATTCCGCAGCAGGTCTAGAGAGCCTCGATTGAGGCAGGCCTTTGGAAAAGTAACCCTGACTCACTTGACAGACTGGGGTTTAGGGTTTCAGCACTCACTCTCGGACAAACCACAGCGTGGGGTTTAGGGTTTAGGGCTTACTAAAGGGACTACGGTTTTAGAGTTTAGAGTGTTTTTAAAGGGTTTAGAGTTTTAGAGTTTGAGGCTTCCTGCTATGATGTGGGCCGGAGAGAACAACAAGAAGCAGAATGATCGGATAGTTCGCACCACGGAATCCTTGTCTAGGTGCCCCCCATGCCCCAACACATACAGAATCCTTCGGTCCAGGCGGTGTTTTTCCACAAAGAGTTGTGGGCCTGCTCCCCTTATGGACACACGAACCACCCCAACTTGGCGTCTCTCCAGCTTACATTGCATTCACTAGTTTAGACAAACGAAGATCGCCATCTGCTCTTCGTGTTCTGATGAAGCCTGCCCAGCCATGCCACCGCACCGCATTGACATCCACTGATGCCTCGCTTCGGAAGCGAATAAGTCATAAAGGCGGCGACAACATGTTTCCAATTCCTACCTCTCACAGAGCTACTGTTGCAGAAACTGTCCTGGCACTTCAGCGTCATCTTGAGGAAAGGAGCATTCTGAGAAATCCCAACTGATTAAGAACAGTGCAGGCCAAGACATTTCGAGGTGGATCCCCGCCACTGCAGTCGGATCCTGTTACAGACTGTCTGTGGCTTTGGCCGAGCCACGGGTGGCGGGGGCGGCGCCACAGGGCCGGCTTCGATTGTCGCGGGTGGAGGTGGCGGAGGGCATGTCACGACATCTGCGCTGGCCATCGGCCTGAGCAGGAGCGGACCAAAGGGCGGATCAATCCGAGTGGAACATCACGGCGCAAACGCGGTGTGAGGCCTCTTGGAGGCAGAAAAGACGGTTGCAGTTGACGCGACCGGGTACCCGCTGCTGTGGAGCCGAAAAGACGAGTCTGGCGCTTGGACTGAGCAAGTCAAACTCGTGCTGAGCTCTGCACCCTCAGCCGAAGCTTCTTCCAGCCAGTCACCGCGACAGGATCGAAACCAATCGCCTTGCGAAGAGAGGATCGGGTGTCGAGGCTCTCGTGCAGTGCAGTCTCCGAAGATTCTACGGGCTGTCCAAAGGAGTACAAGAAAAACTTCTAAAGTACTAGTCATCGTAGAAAAAGACTGTTACGGCTTGTGGCTTAAGGGCTTTGGCATTCCCATCACAGCTTTTGAAGTCGGATTCCCAGGAAGCCTCGGGGTCCTCGGCCTTCGCCCAGCGGAGCAGTGGCTCGTAGACGGCCTCCCGAAGATTCCTGAAATGACTCTCCACGTCCGTGTTCGGCGAGCTCGGAGAGCTGTGGTTTTTCTGTGGTCATGATTCTTATCATCTCTTTCTTCACTTGCCCTCTTCGCAAAGGAACTACAGTACAACTAGTACGGCTTCCCGCCTCACGGAGCTGTCCCCACGTGCCGCGAGGCTGAAGAGTTCGCGAGCCTGGCTAGTTCAGTGGCGAGTAAAGGCACAGCGTCTTGTCGCTGCTGTCTTTTCAAGCAAGGCTTGCCCATAGCTTTGGAAGACCAGTAAGTCGTGTCGCCAGCCTATGGAGAGGGAGACGCAGACACATACTCACAAAGAGAGAGAGAGAGAGAGAGAGAGAGAGAGAGAGAGAGCGAGAGAGAGAAAGAGAGAGAGAGAGAGAGAGAGAGAGGAAGGGAAAGAGAAAACGCTGGCCGCGAAAGCTTAGAAACAGCGGCTCCTCAGACAAGCATCAAAAAGTTTTGCACGTCAGGAGACCGGCAGGCTGCAAAGCTCGAGCACTTGGCCTTGTGGTTGCCCTTGTCGTAAGTGTAGAGCAAGACCTGCCGTACATGCCTAAGGTTGTGATCTCTATAGTATACACAAATATACAGTTACATATACACATATGTTTGCATGTGTGGGCTTGGCTCCCTGGTTGCACGGCACAGCTGTAATTCCAAGGCCTCAGCGTCTCAGCTGCAAGCATGGAGCTCTAAGCTCAAAGCTTACAGCCAATACGCAGGAACCTTTAACCCTTTTTTACATGCATGCTAATCCTTAAACTTTAACGGTAGGTTTATTGCACGGAAGCTAAGCTCTAACACAGAGCTCCCAAACCCAAACCTTAAATCCAAAACCCCAATATCTTAACGGCACATCGACCCTTTGCCCTTCCCCTCCGACCTAGCATGCGGCACGCTTGCTTTCCAAAAAAGCACATCCTTTCCTCTACACCCCCAGGGTAGGCAAGCAAATCGCTGCGACTCAACTCCATAATCAATAAACGATGTAGGCTGGTGGGTAAAATCGGTGGCGAGTGGAGACTCTGCAGCTGTGGAGGCCACTCTGTGCCTTCAGCAGGCACTCCTCCGGGCTGCAGGGCGCGCCCTCACCGACGAAGATACTGGATGCCTCCGACAGGCCAGCCTGGCAAAGTGCGATGATGATGGTGGTGGTTACGATGCTCAAAACCTGAAAGCTAGCCTGCAAAAGGAATGTCGCCATCGGACCAGTGTATGCACTACTGCTGCTACTGCTACTGCTACTGTTCACGACGACAACCACAACCGCCACCTACCACTCCCATCCCTGCTGCCAGTACTCTGAGGCACTTTTACCATGAATATACGACGACTATATTACAAATAACTTATGTAAACATCTGCGTGACAGTGCTCCGGGCTATTCTTGTTGCGAGTGTACGGCCACGATGAATTGAACTGAAGCCTTATACTGCTTCCTTTCCTATATTCACCTCTCCGTCGTACCTTGGAAGGCGACAAAACTCGGATCTTCGTCTTCAGGGATCACAGGTCTACTTTGCTCGGATAATAAAGTCTTCATCCTTACTTCTGGCCTGGCGCAAGGTGCGAGACTCGTCCTTGAACATAGCCGGCCTGGGTCGGGTGTAACGGGCGTGAACTCCTCTCATGATCAGCAGAATTCGAGCGAGTACTACTACTCACTACTCCTAGTCCTAGCAAGTCATCCTGATTCCTTCGGACTTCCTAAAATACAACTAGTCGAAACACTTGCTGCAGTAGCAGATTTCTGGCCTGAGTGATGTGCGGCTCAGAGGCTATTCAGTAGGAAGAATGCACGTTAAAAGACAACAGGGAAGTGTATGTACTTACACACACCCGTTTCGTATTTGTGCATATTTAGCTATTTTGCCTGTGTATGTATATACCGTACGGAGATTCACGTACAAGCATCATGTCGGTTCGTCGTACATTGGAAGCCTACTCCATGCCACCTAGGTCCTACTTGCGGGTGTGGCGTGCCAAAGTCTTTAACGTCTCTGGTTTTGTCTCTGATGCGAGAGCTCCTCTCTACACCAGAACCGAAGCGAAGCCACTGTAGCCTGGGGCGCCGGCGCATGCTGAGAGCGACAGAGGTGCAGTGTTGATGCATCCAGCTGGAGAGCTTGTGCAATGCGCGCCTGCAACATGCCGGGATTCCAAACAAACGTGAGAGACTGGTAGGGGATCGGCGAAGAGTTGCACGCCATGGTCTGAGACTGAAGATGAGGAAACTAGTGCACCGCGGCTCTTGATGTGCAGAGCACTGGCATCTAGAACGAAGACACTTGTCTCAAACAGGGCCCATCACTCAAAAACTCTGGTCAAGCCATGCATGTATTGAACTCTTCGACTCTGTACACAGGCACGTCTCTGAGAGCAACGCGAGCTTCAACCTCCTCCTATTTTGCCAGAGCCACAAAAAACATCCTTAATTAGTCTAGGGGCATTTATATTCTACTATAATTATAATAAGGAAACCACCGAGGCCCTACTCTAATCATTAAGGCCCCTATAGGGGCCTTGAGCTCGAAGATCGGGGCATCTTTGCTGACGGCTATGGGCGGGAACTCCTCCACCAAACACAGCTTCTTGGGAAGCATGGCTTAGGGTTTTCAATGCTCACTCTCGCACAAGGCAGGCAAGGCTCCGCATAGTGGCTTAGGGTTTAGGGAGTAGGCTTTAATGGGTTAAGGGTTTAGAATACTCTGCAGCCTCGCATTTCGCAGCGGCATCACATGGAATCACCACGGCTCTGTTGCTGACCAAAAGTCTTCCAGGCCCCCAAAGCATTATAAACCCTAAAAGTCCCTTTTGCAGCAGGCCTCGTTGTCCAGCAGCCCGGTTACAGCAACAGCCCCGTTTCCCCCGCTTCTTACCCTAAAAGTCCCTAAATGCTTAACCCAACCTAAACCCCTTTAAACCCTGCCGAGATTGAAACAATGCCGGACCTAAACCCCGATCGTTTGTCCTCGGTGAATTGTGGCCTGGCAACGGCTTCGGTTTTAGGGGGAGAGGTTCTAGAGTTGAGGGCAGTTTGGGGTTTAAGGCTTTAGGGGTTTACGGCTGTAGGGTTAAGGGCTTTAGTGGGTTCAGGCCTTCGGGGCACTACGAGGGCATTTTCAGAGCGCTACAAGGGCATCAAAAGGGTAAGACTCGGGGATTAAATGCTAAAGCGGAAGGGTGCTACAAGGGTACCAAGAGGGTAAGTCAGGGGACCTGGGCAATATGAGGGCACTATAAGGGCATTAAAAGGGTACTGCAAAGCGCATTAAGGGTACCACCACGGTACTGCAAGGGTACAGTGAGGCTATCGTAAGGGTACTTGGAGGATATGTAAGGGCTCTATGAGTGCATTATAAGGCGGCCGAATTGAGGGTTTGGACGGACCAAAGTAACAGCTTTTTGCAACTGGGCTCTCACGAATGCCAGCAACAAGAGACATTCCAAACCTGAAGCCCTACATAAATTCTGAGCCTCGTTGGATGGTTAAAATAGATCTTCGCAGTGTTGCATTTCTCCTCCACGAGCCTGAGCAAGCACAGGATTAATGTTTAGACTTTAATGACTACCTTTCTTTGACAAACAATGCCGATTATCATCCTCTGTATGGCAGAAGGGCTTATGTGAACCAGGGGTCTTATTGTCACTCGCTCTCGACGGATCAGGCGAGGCTACAAAGACCCTAGCACTTCACTCCTGAAGCGCCTTGCACATTGTTGTGGACCATGTCGTAATTGATCTAGTATTGTTCTCATTATATTTAGTGTAACTTTATACTACTGCTACGTATCTTTCTTTTCCTTGTATTTATTACAAAAGCTTTAACTGGTAGTAGTACGCTTGAAATTCTTAGTGCTTCAACTACTGCTCTTTTTACCTTGACTCAATTGGGTTTTGAGTTACGAGTTTGATGAACAAGAAGCTTGGAGTTCGGTTAACCGTGTACTCTTAAAGTTTGGGTGCGCGCACTGCACACAAAAAGACATTATCCGTCGATGAAAGCCTCCGTCTGTGCATGCCTACTTACCGCCTGCCTGGGTTCACACCTTCAGTCGCACACCCACACATAATGCACGCACATTGAGGCACATCGAGATCGAGTGGACTTCCGCCAAAAGTGTTTCGTTGCAGACACTGATGTCACTGCACACAGACCATCACGCAGGTAAACAAATGCGGCCCAGCTGCTGCACAGCTTGCGAGACTCCTGGCAAATCATGGTCAAACATTAATGCGGGGACATAGAGGTGTCCGATTGTCTGAATCACACAGACACCTTGCACATTCTCTGGCCAGCTGCTCGGTACACCTCACATTGCGAGTGTCGCACAAAGGCAGGGCGGAGCGTGATGTGGCGATGAAACAACGCACTGATGCATGTACTACTCCTCATTAATTATAGTACAGATAACCCCTGGCCTCTGCAAAAGAAAGAGGATCAACAAACTATTTTATTTGTTGGTTGTACTTGCATGGCTACTGTGAAAGCGCAAACGCACTCGTATCCTGGCCCGTCCAGTTGCTCCACACAGATGATGTCGCCGTACTCACAGCCGGACCTGAACAAACACTGTGACTCACTTACTTGAACCTCGCGCAAACAGTTTTGTGACTTCTCGCGCTGGGCTTCAGCCGAATCGCAGGGGTTGGGCCAATACTCCTAAAAAATCGCTGCAGAATACTGCCGGTAGAGCTGTACGTAGATTCAGGGTGCGTAGGGCAATGACACAGAGTGCTGTTTTGAACCAAAGCATTCCTAGGAGATAAGGTCTTGAGGCAGGCCAGAACTTGTGCAAGAGACGCGAGCCTGCAGTTATCTGTTCCTGTGCAAAAGGCCATGTCTTGCCCTGGCTTAACCCTAGAACACGAGATCCACACCAACTGTGTGCATGCACCTGAGCTTCCAGCCCTTGCAGAGTCAGCTCATCGCCCTTCAGCTCCTTTCCGGCCTCTGGGCACCGCGTGTAACGTCTGCGGCTGTCGCCGTCAGAACACCAGGTAACCCGTGGCAACCCGTAGTCGGATGGAACCCGTAACCTTCACTTGCGGGGCACCGTAACGAACATCTGAGAAGGTCATTCGACCCCAGGGTAGCTGCGGCCTGCATCCCAGATAGTGGGACCAAGGCCAGGTGGCTCGAGGCCGGGAGATTCCTGCTGACGAAGAGCATGCAAAGGAGATTGTTGTGGAGGTTGATACAAGAAGTCTTTCGACAGGGTCTGGCTTGCGTAGTGCGCAGTCTTGCGGCAATATCACCGTGCAGCGCCGCATGGTGCCGAGTCGCCACACTTGATACAACGGCACGCCCCTGCGAAGAAAAAGCAGCCATGCCCTCGAAATCATCGGTCCAGAGCGTTGCTGCTGCTTCCCGCACCGTTCTCAGCAAGGGAGACCGGTCTCCATGGGACCTGTCGTGGTGCGTGGCCCAGGCTCAGGGATTGACTGGAAAAAGCTGCAAGTTGCAAGCTCCTAAGTTACTATCTTCTACACAGTTTGTTGGATGGACTTCGAACTTTCGCTAGTCTCCACGTAACAAGCTGGGGCGGAATGGTGGGTCTGCATGCGCCTGACGGCTACAGGCTTTTCGAAACATCCGCATGCATCCACCGGACCACGGCTCGCCTTGCCGGCTCTGTCGGGACTTCCAGAGCGAAGAGATCCTTCGCGGCGTCTCGTCAAGAGGCAAAGGGCACCCCGAAGCCCTGAGAGCCGTCAGGATCCTCAAAAGACACCCATATTTTTACTTGTGGTTATGATGATTCTTCTTATTATATTTCTATTATTTCTATTACTGTTATTCTGATGATGTTTATTATTACTACTACAATTCTTATTCATATTACTGTTGTTTGCATCCCCAAACCACTGCAGTATCAACCCTTACTAAATCCCAAATCCTAAGCGGCCCCTAGCGCAATGAGCCCCTGCTGAACCGGCGTGGTCCAACCCACCTGCTGCACCTCTTCTGGTTCCGGCTCATAGGTCTCTGTGCTGGGAGGGACCTCTGCAGCACGTGAAGCGGGGCTTAGGGTTTTAGGGTTTAGAGTTTTAGGGTATAGGGTTTTAGGGTTGGTTTGAATGTGAAGGATTTGCAGTGACTTATTCTGCCTGTCTGTCCGTCTGTCTCCGTCGAAGTCAACCACATCTACAATCAACAAGGCATCAACAAGAGTCCCAGGGATACAGATTGACCATATTGCCCTAAACCCTAAACCCCCAAACCCTAAACCCCTTCTCACGCGCGATCGCAAGCGATGCAGTGCCTATACCGCGTACAGAATGCTCGGACAGTCGCCTGTGTTGGCTCTTTGGCCAAGTTGGCCTCGCCTTCAGCACAGGCCTGCAGGACAGTGAAGATTCATTGGAACTGCTTCTTCATCAGCACGCTAACACGACAGAAATAGAAGGTAAGAATTACGCAAAATTCGAACTACTAGGTTACGAGCAGCTGAGCAGCTTCAAGTGTTGCTGCACTTGCTTCTGCTGCTGTGACACTGTTTGTGCTGAAGCTGGCAGTACTGCGTACTGCTCTGCAGCCCCTAACTGCCACCGCCACTACCGGTGCGGCAACAACAACTACAGTACCTCTACCGCGACGACGACTACTGCGAATGCGAGTAATGCTGTTTTACTGCAGAGTTCGGTGTTCTCTGGCATGCGGCACCTCCTCAGCTGGAGGGAGTCTCAGCGCGGCCACACTACCAGACCCAAAGCTGGGCGCTCCCAGCTGCCTGTCCCAGAGTACCTGAGCGTTCTTCCCTAGCACCACCATTCCCGTTACCATTACCGTCACCATCATCGCCATCAGCCACCGTGATCAGCGGCCCAGAATGTAGGTTCTTCTCCGTTCCAAAACCTACGCTTTCTGTCTACGTGACTCTTTTCGCGGAGAGGGGACTCTGGAAGCATGAAAGTCTCGCGCTCCAGGTACAGCAGACCATCCTTACTGCACCTCGTCGCAATGCTCCCGCTGCGGGGCGAAACGCCCCGCTCAGTACTGTACTTTTGCTGTTTCGGGTCCTGCCTGCGACTTCGGATACTACGAACTGCTCTTCAGCTTTGCCTCGACTGCCGAGCTGCGAGGAAAGTTACGGTGCGATCCTCCTGCCACTGCTCAAAGCCTGAGAAATCTCACAGACTGAGGAGGCTCACAGGAAGCCACAGATGTGAACAACCGCAGCAGCGAAGCACCGAAACCCAACGTGACAAGATGCCATGCCATCTCGAACCACCTCGTATGCCTCAAGGTTTCCTGACAAGTGGCCGCCCGAGGTATCGGGCAGCTCCATGACCAGAGTCGCAGTGGAGTTGAAGCCTCCTCCCAAACAGTCGCCAAGCAGGATGCCCTCGAGCGGACGTCCGGGCAAACCACGCCAGGGGTCGTAGAGGCGGAGCCTGTAACCAGGTGAGGCCGTATAAAACTTAGAACAGGGTTTGGGGGTACTAGAAGGGCCTTAATAATTACCAATACTATTGTGGTGGTTCCTTCTTATAAGTATCGTGTAATAGGCCCCAAAACCCTAGTCTAATCATTAAGGCCCCCATATTATGTCTTGTTTTCTCAAGTTTCTTTCTCGTGCTACTCGGAGCTGAGGTGCCCGTTCTGCCGCCCCAATCCTGCTACGGTTTCGACTCTCGCACTCCGCACCAGGCAGGCTAGGACTAGGATCCCCGTGTGTGAGGGTTCAGGGTCTAGTTAAAAAAAGCGTCGCAACATGGAAGGCAGTATTGCAGGACTTCTTGGCCCGGAGCCCTGATGTCTCACATACCTGGAAGCAACCCCCCCCAACAAGCCTTAAAACATCCCGGCTTCGCGAAACATGCCTTGCGGACTTGAGCGCATCCAAGTCCACGTCACGGCACCAGGACATGTCCGAAGAAGCTAACGACTTCCTCAAGAGCGGTTTCGAGTTTTTGAGTGACGTGTGCAATAGCCATAGGCCGTAGACTCGGAGGCCAGGCTATTGATTGGGGCACGAAGAGATGCAAGAAGGCCATGGTACTGTAGCATAGTAATACTTCTGGGGTTCTTCGTGAAACTGTGATCTTGGCCAGGCAAGGCGCCCAGGCGTACTCGGTCGATTGTTCGCTGCGGGCACGTGCCGTGGGCTTCTTCGTCTTGTTACAGAAGTCCACGGCTTGTTTTCCCTGCCCGAGTACTACTGTGCTGTGGTCAAGACGGGCCTAGTACTGCTATTCGTATCTATTCGTAGCTGTGCGTGCTTGCTTCGGTCCATTGCCCTGCAACCCTTTCACGAGCAGCGGCTGCAGTTCACATTGCCCTAACCCTAAATGCCTGGTTTGAACCCAGAGCTCCGTCCACTCCTAAACTCCTTAGCCCCACACCCATCGATCTCTTGCAGCCTAGGTACAAGACCTTTCTCCGCACGGCAGCTGCCGGTCGTTGGCTCGAGGTTTTCACAGTGACAGACATTTCTGGCCTCGATTTCGGGTTTCGGACTACCAGGGATCAGGGTTTTGGGGGCTAAAGGCTTATAGGGTTTGGGGTTCATGATTGGTAGAGTTTGGGCTTGCTGGTCTGGTGTATACATAGGGTTATAGGGTTTGCAATTTCATTTAATTCTACCTAGCTAGGACCTGCTAAGAAGGAATGAATGTAGGGGCCTTAATAATAAGAATAAGGTTTGGAGGATTCCTTATTATGATTCTTATGGTACAAGTTTGCCCCCCAAACCCTATTATAATTATTAAAGCCCCTACGGTACGTCAGTCACAGCAGAAGTCCTACTCTCAACCTTGCACTCCACAGGGTTTGGGCAAACGACAGAAGCCCTCAACACCACAGGAACAAACCCCAAACCCTATAAAGGGGTTTTTCGCACCAGGAAAGCCCCAAAAACCTAGACCCTCAAACGTCTTCCATTCACCTGCCCCAAAGCACTGTCCTTCGCGCCGCTAGTTCCCCGGTTGCATTCCCAGCGACTCCGCTTCCGGTGCAGCAGCGCCCAACGCCTGCAGACCAAGGCGATCTCTAGTCGCGAAGCCAGTGCGACTTGAACGATAGCGCGAATATTGTGTAATAGGCGATGCATAAACTGTAACATCTAGTTACTAGTTATTCACAGTAAGTGATAAATCTGCTGCAAAATCTATGTATCTGCCTATCCAATTAGCTGCCACTCAGCGCATGCACCTATCTAATAAATGGTGCATTGTACATGTATATGCACATGCAGAGTCCGTATGTATAACATGTTGTGCATTGCATGTTGTAGGTAACAAATAACAACTGGCATGTTACACAATACATGTGAATGCTATATAAAACCGGCTTTATGTGGGATTGTCTCACATTTATATATGTGTGCATTTTACATGTCATTATGAATGACTGTTAGGTTAGTTTGCTGTTTTTACAAATCCTAATCTGTATGTTCCTATTCAAACAGATGGGACGCACCCGATACTAGGTATTACATGCTATATATTGTGTACGATAGGTTCCTTGTCTCTCTCTCTCTCTCTCTATATATATATATACAAATATATACAAATATCTTGATATATACGTTATCATATCGAATGTTTACAAGTATACAACACAATGCATTAAATATGGGATTTTGCATATCGTGCGTTCTGTTCTATAGACTGCCCAGACTATACTTCCAACGACCGTAAACACCGAGGTCAATGGTTCAATTCCGAGGTAATCCGGGGTCGCATCACGACCCACTTTTGAACGACCCCGATTCACCCATGTGTCAAATCGAGCTTTTGGCATCCCTGCATGTGCAGCCGAAGCATGAAAACAGGGTTGTACTGGCTGTTTGCAAGCTCTGTTCACAGGTTCTTTCACGGTCGCCCCGAAGAGCCTGACCCCCTCTATGGCCTGTCGCACATGAGGGGTCCCACATGGTTTTTTCACGCTCCCACGTGGTCCTGAATAATACTGCTTGTTGCCTCGCAAAGCTTGCAAGTAAAATGAGGTCGCTCGAAAGTAATTGGACCGCAGATTAGAACCGGACATGTTGTACATTGTGTTTTCGTGTTGTATATTTTTCTGTACAACACACCTGAGAGTGCGCCACGTGAAACGCCTCGAGCTGCGTTGCTGCATAGCGCCGCAGCGCACGTTCGGCCGCCGGCGGGAGGAAGACTTTGACCTTGGCTGACTCGTCCTAGGGATCTAACGACGACAGGGGATTTCCATGGATTTCCCCTTCCTGTCCCTCCACACCCCAGTGCGCCGGCGTACAGTGGTGCTTTAGAGTTGCACTTGTAATTACGCAATTGAGCATTTTAAATGGAGGGCAAACCAGATCGGGTGAACAGTTCCAGATACAAGGGCGCACCCATCGAGACCAAGAGAGGGGAGGGAGGGAGGGAGAGAGAGAGAGAGAGAGAGAGCGCGAGATAATGAGACTGAGTATAGTCCGATGTGCCCAACACATGATATGCCACAGCGATCCACGGAGGCATCAAGAAATGCAACAGCATCTGCGCACTCGATGCCAGCAACTTCACGATCTGAGGAAGAACATGTATTCGTCACGCTTGCATTCACCATGCACGTGTACAAGGATCTGTTTGACTCAACTGTCACATTCCAGCCATTCTATACCTCGAGACCCTGAAGACCAGAAAATCGACTGAAGGAGGGTTGAGCCCGTAACCAGTTCAGGAAGCAGCACACAACACGACCAAGCAAAGTCCCTCCAATGCGATCCGGTTCACCTCCAGCAGCTTGCGGTGCAGGTCATAGGCTCCTGAATCAGACTTCGGCAAACTTCGCGACCTTCAAACTCTAGACTCTAGCCTCTACATCACGAAGATGGTAGACCTTTCAGCGCTGTTGTCAAGGCGACACCGAGAATGACAACGACCGCGGGCGTGGGGTTTGTCACATCTTGTCATCTTGTTTGTCTAGAGTCTAGACATTGCTACGGTCCATATACTCAGATTTCTGTCTCCCATCTATTCGCCGGTGTGATGCCAGCTGTCTTCGTCGAGGCTCACCGCAGCAAGTCTCCCACTGATGGGACATGCACAGGCACCGACCACCATACAACATGTACTCTGAGGCTGTAATGACGATAGCCCCAGCATGCCCCAGCTGAAAAGTCCCAGGGTCGCTGTAGTCGGCTCAGGCGCTCGTTTTCTGACAGCAGGGCATCGCGGAGGCACTGTGGGATAGCAGCATCCTGGAAGAACGGCAAAGCTTGGCTGGGGTTACGCAGATTGCACAGGGCGCTGCTACATGCAATGGAAAGCTGGGCGCTTTGAGAACTTGGTTGCAAGACCCCTCACCTGAATCCTGCAGTCCTGGACACTGGGCACTTCGGTCTGGGAAACCCGCCGGTACAGGAGGAAGTAGGCATCGGCTGAGTGTAGCGCCTGTGGCTGTGCGTCGTCGCTAGACCCGAAGAGCGCCGAACACTGCTTGGCACTGAGCACTTGCACGCGGGTGTCGTTGGCATCCCTCCAAGCACCGCTGCATGGATCCCAAGCAAACGCGTGGTAGTGGCCTCCATGGGCAGTCCCGCTATGCAAGCAAACCGCCGCCAACTGATAAAAAGAAGGCCCGCCGCCGTCAGAAAGAAAGGCCAGGTCTAGAATCAAAGGCAGCGCGACGACTTCTGAAAGCTTCTTGCGCCGCATGGTCGCCACATCGAAGACGAAGCGGAGCAGCTGTATGCAAAGTATCTTCGGCAAACTCTCTATGGTCAAGCCTTTCAGGGAGCTGGAATGGCAACGCTGAACCCCTATGCCAACTCGGGGCAGCGCACGCTATGCTCCAGTCGTAAGCTTCGAGACTGTGCGTGGCAACATGCACAAAAAATCCAAATCCTACACCCAAAGCCCTAAAGAACCAAACTAGCTTGGCCTTCTACACCCACACAAAAACGATTCGTAAATGAGATCCTCTTTGGCCTAAGAAGGAAGGATTTACATATATCGTATATATGTGTACACTTACTATATATATATATATATATATATATATACACATAGATTACATATACATATATACATTTATATACACACATGTAAAATATATACATAGAATGTCCCGAAGGCCTATGTCGTAAAGCTACCCTTTCCGGCCTTTCAGAGCATCCACCTTTTTGCCGAGCTCCTCGCACAGCCACTGGTTGTCTCCTTCCATGACCTGAACACTGCACCCACAGTAAACCCCTAAAGCCCTAAAACCCTGACCCCTTAACGCTAAACCCAAACACCCCTACGTCAAACCCTAAACCGCAAAGATTGGTTTGGGCCAGGGCTTCGGGTTTAGGTTGAGGGTCTCTGGGCCCATAAGAGCTCCAGTTCCGACATTCGGCCAAGGAGGGAAAGCATCCACACAAAGACGGCTACCCTGAGGCCCCAAACTAGTCCCTTTTGGGGGGTTCATATACAGAATCCTATAAGGTATTCCCAAAAAGGAACTACTTTGGGGCCTATGGGTAGACTCTTCTAAGTCATGACTCAAGCGACTTCAGGCTCCAGGTTGCTAAATCCACGACCCCCCCCAAAAAAAAACGGCCGAACACCCTGAATCTCCCAAAAAATCAAGATGCCAGATGCCGTACACCCACCGGATAGCGATCAGGCACACCCAAAGGCCCTCAAAGCCCCGTAAAATCCGATAAACATGCCTCCCGCCCTTAATTCCCAGAGACCTCAGCCCACCAAATCCCACCAGAAACCCCAACCTCACGCATCCTAAGTCCCCAAAAAATCTCAACGCCGTAAATCCTACAGACACCCTAATACACCTTAAACCTCCCAAGTTCCAAAACCCCATAGCCCACCAACTCTTAAACAAAAAACTGCAACCCCCTGAATCAACAAATCAGAGACAAGACCCCAAGCCCATCTCTCGGGGGAGACTTCCGTCAGCCTCGGGTTCCACCAGTTTGCGCAACGCTTCCTCCAGACTGCTGCAGTCCTCTCACGAAACAGGGTTCCTTTACATGCGTTGGTAGCGGTTCGGTTCCTTTACGGGTTTGAGGGCTTGGGTGTTTTGAGCTTGGAGGTTTGAAATGGGCTTTTGGAGCTTTCTCAGGATTTAGAATACCGTTTAGGGTCTGATTCAGGCCTGGGACCCAAGTGGTTCGTCTTGGGATGTCTTGGGGCTCGACGCTCGCACTCGGACAAATGCCAGGCAGGGTCTGAGACAATGACGACTCCCGCCGTCAAACACGGCGCACGAAATGCCACCACCAAGTATCGAGCTGAAAAAAGCACCACCATGGGTCTAAAGGACAAACGACCTAAAACCAAACAGAGTAGAATCTGAGTAGAACATCCGAGCCACTAGATGGCTTGATATGGCAAGTGAAGCTGCTCAACTGCATGTGCAATGTGGGGTATGGCACCGCTGCTGCATGTCCAAATTCGCTGGTTTTTTACAGTCTGACGCTAGGGAAGATATTCTTCGCTGTGCTTGTTAAGGGCTAGCACGCATCAGCGATTCGGATTTGAATGCGCACATGTGATTTTAGTCCCTGCCTGCATTTGCATTCTTCCAGCTTGGTGAAATGTGCATGCTTGTACGTTATTTGAATACTGGCACGGTCGAGTTCGAGTTCTGATCGTAAGTCTCTGCCCGGTACTTGCAAGTGCTTGTGCTTATGCAGTAAGATATGAGTAGCGGTAGCGCTTTTTCAGTTCTGAAGAACTCTTTCGTTGCATGCAAGTAGCAATAGACCATAAAGCTATTCTTTTGCCTCAGAGTTTGTCCAAGCATCGCAGCAGATAACATCAAGCTGGGACACAAAGCGTTGGCAAAGGTTACATGGAGATTCTCGCAACATGGAGTCGAGTCAAGCAGCTGGCGAATCCCACACTTGCATACAAAAAGAAAAAATTCGCGACCTCCCTGAGAGCTGAGTAGTCTGCAGTCTGTGAATATGAACCAGCATGGTACAGGGAACTCCAGAAAGTTGGAATATGGATTAATGATAGGATACCTTATAATTTACCATAAAGGGTCTAGGATAATCATATTCCAACTTTCTGGCTTTTACCTTAGGGAAAGAAGCCGTGATGCAAATCCTGAACTGGCCTGAGGTGCATTCAACTCAGTATCCCACTCTCTGGCAGCATGCAACACGTGAAAACCACCCTCGCAGAAGCCCTTCCAAGTACGCTATAGGAGATGGCTTCTCAGCAACTGCAGAAGCATTTTTGACGACTTCACGATCTTATTGCAAGGACCTTTGGTGTTGGTGGCTGAGCCAAGAGCCGCAGCCAGGTTTTTTTGTGTGGCTTCCGTTGTGTGGAAGTTTGAGGGTTTAGGGTCATTTGGGAAATCACGTGAAGCATCACCGCCTATGAGCGGAGAAAATAACTCCGAATCATCTGGCGTTAGATGCGGCTTCTGTTTGACGGGGTTGAAGCAGGTCCTGACACGGCCTGACGTGCTTCTCGGACCCGCTATACCCGTTGTCGTTTGTACCGTCTTTACCTAATTCTTCAAGCATTACAAGGAGAATGAAGGAATGCCACGGAGGAGTCGTCTCATGTCACGAGGTGCAGGTCCTGGATAGGCACCTGAAGATCCATGTACTTCTCTGTGCGCGCACTCTGGTAAACCTTGCCGTTGATCTCCTGCACTGCATTTAGAAGTATCGAGGATCAGAGAAGTTGTGCGAAAGTGTAGTTTAGCATCCAGTATAGATACTTCCTGTCCAGTCTACCAGTAGGGCCTTCTGGCGCGCGCCTCTCTGCACTTGATGTAGGATGTCGACTTTCCAGCATACCTCCCGAAATGCTTTCGACACCGAGGTAGGCATGTCTCAGGACCTCGTACCATCGCAGTTTCTTGAATGCCGGCTGCAACTGCAGAGCCCCGCGAAGTCGCGATGCAATGACTGTGACAAGCCAAGCCACAACCCGCGAATCGCATCGGCCAGAAGGGACGAGGACCTGTTCCAATCACCGGCAGCTACTGAATTTTCTCAATACTCGGTCCGTGAATGCACATAGCAGACGAAGACAAAAACAAATAGTCTTGTGTACATACACGTAGTATAATGCATAACTACCCGGCCTCTCCAACGCGTCAAAGAGAACCCGACCTCGGGTGCACAGGACTAGCAAAAATGCAGCAAAAAGGTGCTTGGCACTGGCGTTTCCTGCGATGATCCTTGATTCGAAATCAGGGACAGATGGGAGCTTCCGAAAATAGGGACCCTAATATAGTATCCTCAATAGTAGGACCCTTATTGCAAGGACCGCAAAAAAAAAGGTACCCATATCCTGAATCTGCCTCCGAAACCCAGCCCGGTCTGGAAGAAGCCTGAACTGAAGCGAAAACTCCCGATTTTCAAGCCGAGCTTCGATTCAGGGACTACTTGTCGCGCCTTGCGGTGCGCTGAGGCTCTGACAAAGCTCCTGAACATCGTGTTGCTGCATCGCATCCCGACCTGGTCCATCAGCTCGTGGAAACCCATGTCACTGAAATAGATGCAGAAGCCCTAACCCTCGTGGGAGCTTCCATCGTCGCACTGCCAACATGTTGTAGAGATGACGGGCCCGCCTGTGAAGCCACATGCCGTCGTCAAGTCCTGCAAAGCATTCAATGGAGGTGCTGGTGCTTCTGAGCCAGGGGGCAACAAGGAATACGCTTTGTGATGTAACTACACTGCCTGTTCAGTTTTGCGGCACCACCTCCCGCACCGGCACCATCACAGCAGCAGTAGCTCAAGTTACATATCCGCAAGAGACCCTAACTGTCTAAATGCTGCAGTCACCTGTCCTTGCACGCCCGGAATGAGCACTCAAAGATCGCGTCATGTGGCCGTGAAAGCCTGCTGACCTTGCCTCTCGCAAATGACCCTGAGCATAGAATAGAAGAGAATAGAATACATTGTAATAGCACTTCGCCCGGCCCCTAATCCGTCCTTGGTGGATGCAGCACCAGCAACAGACATCTGAAGTTCAGCAAACAGCTTCTGGAGCTGGAGTGGGATGCCTCCCGGGTCCCGGGGCATTGCATGGAGATTAATTCCTGTAATGGGTGCCCGTACACATGCCTATGTATCTGTATGCGTATATTCATGAATCTACGTGATTATGTAGCAGGAAGGCATGCAGACGTAGGCACACACAGCAACTGTAGCTGCGAGAGTGCCGGATATAGTCACCCTTCATGGGAACAGTGCAACAGAAGAATAACTCTTTCACACACGGTGTTTCCCTGGCCCCATTCCCAAGCTTCAGCGCACAAAGTTGCAGAAACAGAAGGACACCCCATCCTAAACCCTTCTTGCAGCTGGGCTCTTAGTGCCAACCTGAACCCCAAACCCCAAATCCTAAACTCCACACTCTCCGCAACCATCTGGGCCAAGGGCATCTGCTTGCTTCTCCATGGAGATTGGGGTCGTATTCCTTCCGTTCAACTAATCATGTTCTCTTAGGAACATGTTGGAAAAAACAAAACACGTTAGTTATAACATATGTTGATAATACCATATTGCATATAGGTTCGAGAAATGTACCAACACCTGGGGTTCTCGTTTGCACCCACCCGACACCTGGGCCCACGCCAATCGGCAGGCACCAGCAGCGGCCCTTCGCAGGCCCTCCGGAGAATAAATGCTGCCGAAGGTCGAAACCATACACGGCAAGCCGGAACTCCGGCGTGTAGAACAATGACTGCAGGAGGGAGTTCATGTAGCAGGTGGCCTGGGTAGCAAACACAAGGTGCAACTGCCCCGACTGACTACGAGCATGTAGCCAGAATGTTAGGGCCACATCGGCCTTGTGGCACTACTCAGCGATGGTAGCGCCGAGGCCCCTGGTAAAGGCATTAACGGTATAGCCGTCACGAGACCAAGAAAGAAAAAGTAATTGAACAACAAACAGGGGTAAAGCGAACATCCAAAACCTCGACAACAGTCCATGAGTGAAAGACCGCTACCCCCCAACCTTACGAATGTTCAATCTCTCAGCCTCTTTGTTGTGAGAATCTCTTCAATACAGGCGGACCTGAGACCCAGTTCATCAGCCCTCCCCCCCAAAGGCAACCCCTCTCACGCAAAGACTGGAGCTTCTGGAAACTGAGCATGCTGACACCCTGGTTCATGAGCCCCACACCACCTTAGTGTCACTGGCGTTTGAAGGTCGGACCCCATCCATTGCTGCAGTTGGGATTCTTGTGTGAAGATCGGTTAAGGCTTCCGGCAATTCCAGCGAAACGGGTCAGAGAGCTAGTAGTCGGGTTGCGATGCTGCGGTTTTTAGCGCATACTTTGTTTGTGCATCGTTTGTTTGGCCTCCCGCGTGGCTAGGACGAACCTACGGTGCAGGGTCTCATTGCATGACGTGGTCTGCTAGGCAGGGTGTCGACGAAACCTGTGAATAGGCCTCGCCAACATTCCAGAGTATAATGCTCAGAGGGTACAAATCGACTTCGGGGGCGGCCAGGAGTTGTTTCCCACGCACACCATAGTGTCTTACGACCTCAAATCTCCCACAATTTCGATTACTTGAAGGCAACTCTGCGCTCTTCCAAATCAGGAGTCCCTGGGCGAGTCGTAGCAGTGCTGCAAAGATAGCTGAAAGGCGGCCCTAGGCCTGCACACTCTGATCCTAAGCTCTTCTTAGGAGCTGAGTACCCTATAGCCCAAAAAGGGTTCACCTTTTCAATTAATGTAGGGCTATATGGGAGTTTCCGAAAACAGGGGGACCCTAATATAGTACCCTATATAGTAGGACCCCGAAAATAAGGTACCCCTAATTTTCGGAAACTCCCATATAATTCCGCAACAGGTCATAGGGCTCCTTTTGGGGGTTCATATATAGAATTCTATAAGGTAATCCCAAAAGGAACTACTTTGGGATCTCTGGGTATAGGGCTACCTACTCAGCTCTTAAAGTCTTTGGGACTTTAGCTCCAAACCCGACCGGGGCCGGCGCCCTCGCCTCGTTCCTGGAGCTTGGCCTCGCAGGGTTTTTAGGGTCTAGGGATTAGGGTTTAGGGTCTAGGGATTAGGGTTTAGGGTCTAGGGATTAGGGTTTAGGGTCTAGGGATTAGGGTTTAGGGTTTCGAAACGGCTGTACCACGGCGCCGGGTTTAGGGCCTGGCCCGGTAAAGTTTACAAGAAGCATGGTGCTTCGATAAGATGCCTGACTGCCCCTGAAGTTCCTTCCTCCTACACTCTTTTGCATCAGTGCGCAAATTCGACTCGTGGCGGTGGTGCTGGTGTTGGCGGCGGTAGCAGTGGTCGGGACCAGTGGCAGTTCAACGAGTGCAGCAATGCATACTTGTCGCGGTCGTAGCAGAAGCAGCAGGACAGGTAGCAGCGGCGGCAGCGGTATCGGCTGCGGCGGTTGCAAGGGTAAGAGTAGGGGCGGAGCGGAGTAGGAGCAGGAGCAGGGCAGTAGCAGAAGTATGTAGTAGCAGCTTTGCAGTGGTGACACGGACCAGGGACCAGCACACGTCATCGAAGGATTCCAGTCGGCGGACTGGGTCCATGGTATAGCTATGTCATGCCAAGCCAACACTGAGTTCTTTCAAGGATCGAGCACGGCGGTGGCTGCAGGAGAAAACAGCAAAATCTTGGAGTGTACTGTGGAGCACTGCGGCATTGAGATGCGAGGTGGCGAGAGAATGAACGTGACATGCCCTTAAGCAAATCCCCAACCCCACGATGGTCCTGCACCCTGAATCTCAGCATTTCCCAGCACAACAAGAGTGCACCAACGCGGACATGGGATCTGAGATCCCAGCCGGTCCACCGCTCCGCAACACTGCAAGAAGCTCCTCACAGTGGGCCTCTTTGCAGGATGGGCCCAGCAAGAACCATGACGAAACGCAGGTACACACCAATACCTGCTCTATCTTCGAGGCACTCATCTCCACTCCTAAGGTTGCGGGAGAGTACTGTACTGGGCGAAGTCTACCTTGTGCAAACTCTATCGCATGCAATGGCGGTAGTGGTGGCGGTCGACGTGGAAGCGGCACCATTAGCGGTCACTAGCGGTCGCGATGGCGGGGGTCGTGTTAGTAGCAGTAGCAGTGGCAGTAGCATAGGTGGCAGTGGTAGTAGTAATAGTAGTGAAAGACTTGTCGCATAATCGGCCCTCCGCAAACTGTCATTAACATTTGCCCTCATCTGCGCATTTCGTCCTACCAATGGCCCAAGCACGGAGCACTTCCAAACCCCTTTATGATGACTGCTGCTAGCGCTGCCACTACGGTGAGGAAGGCAAGTGGCTGTCAACCTGCAACCTCTGCCAGATCACAAGATTCAGGTCAGAACACGGAACACGCAATGAATCGGATTGAACCTGGCCTCGTAGAAGCTCTCCTCTTCCGCCTCCTGTTCGTCCTGTGCCATGGCTGTCTCTGCAGGGTCTGCATTGGGTTCGGTGACATCGAATCTCCAACGAATCTAGAGTCGAACCCTAAACCCGGCCCTAATTAAACCCTAAATCGATCCCAAATTTCCCAAAGTTTGCAACTGACCGCAGTTCACGAAGCCTCAAAATTCGCTTCGCCCTCAGCTTAAACAAACTGCGCATTCTGCAGATGCCATCTTTCCCTTCCTTATTGGGCTTCATCACAAGGGGATCTATAATTATAGGGATTTCGTTAAAGGGATCTACATTCTGAGAAAGATGCCATCACCGAGCGAGTTCCAGGTCCTCAGTGGGCTCAGCGACTGGCACTCCGAGAAGGCCTGCGACAGGTGCGGGGAATTGCAAGTACTGTAGCCATAGGCTCCATAGTAGTTCTTTTTTGTGATTACCTTATGGGATCCTACATATGAACCACAGAAAGGAATTACTATGGAGCCTATGGGTAGCCAACATGCAAGCAACGCTGCCTGCGAAGTAGTGAAGCTCCAACTTAGACTGCGAGACTTGGACATGTGGCCACCATGCGCACTCCGCTGTCGTGAATTTCTCAACGCGTGAGACGAAGGCAGTGGATCCAAAGATGTCCCTTCAAATTCGGCTCGGGCTGAAACGCAAGCTGTTCTTGCCAACATTTGCAGGACAAGCGGAGCTCTGCCATGTTACGGACAAAAGGGTGCCAGTCGACGGAGCTTGCACTTGTTTGAGAATCGACTGGCTGCTATGAATTCTGGACAGCCTGTATACAGTTCCGGTGAGGATTCTGTCACCGTCGCATGCAAGTTGGGTGAAACACACTGATGCAAATAGGATCTTCTCTAGGGTGCAATGTTATCAATGTTATACTCTGCCTCAGAACTGACTCTGCAGGGTGCACTGGCTCACAAGGTAACTGCCTAAGGCAAGGGGTCCACCTTGGAGCCAACTTTGCAGCCTAGGCCATGATGGCGCTGTCGGCTGGGATCACCTTGCCCCTCGAGTCGAAATAGTGTGAGATCTCATCACCTGCCCGGATACTGCAACATGGGAGTTCCCGAAAATCGCGGGTACCTTATTTTCGGGCCCTTATAATAAGGATCCTAGTATTTAGGTACTGTATTTTCTTTGGCTCCCGCATGGCTGATCCGAAGAACGCTTGGCAGGTGACAAGTGGGCTACAGTGTAAAGGGTATGTGCGGCTACAACACCTTCGAAAGCCCCTTCGATCTTAAGCCACACGACACAGATAAAAGGGCATCGGTGAATCATTGGGAAGGGTCCCCTATTGTCGGGAACACCAACATGGGAGTCTGAGGCACGACGGGACCTTCGCATGAAAACAGTCATGGAACCCCAAACGGTCCGCAGGGTCCGTTTTTCAGGACAGCTGTAAATAAAGGGCCCCTACCTTTCTTCACATTGGGTTAAGACCCTCAGGAAAGAACACATCCAAAGCAACTGCTGTCAGGGCCTGTCTAGATTGAAACCCCAAAGCGTCGGAGACTTAGCTCCAGGAACCCTCCCTCCGGCCTTTGTACGGAGCTTGCAGCTGGGCTACCGCCAGCTCCACGTCCTCAGAGGGCACGTCCACGCTCTTCAGGAAGTCTACGTAGTTGAAGATGATGTGGTCTCCGAGGTCGCAGTAGACGTTGCCTCGCAAGGGAAGGAGGGAGCTGAGCTTGGGATCCGGTTCCTCCCGCTCTCAAGCAGAACTGTCCTCCGAAAACTTCGACAAAAACACCACGTGCCAGACTCTGAAACCTGCTGTGACAAGGTGCCCAGTAGGTTCACGTCATCTTCGGAGAGGTCGAAGCCCATACTCTGCATCACCCGATGGAACCTGGGATTCATAGGCGGTCCCGGTTTTCGCATTCTGTCGGGGCCGTGCTGACACTGCTTCTCTTGCGCATGGAAGGATGCCCCAAGTCAAGGTAAGCAGCCCATTACCACAACTATCGTCGGGCATCATCGTAGCAAATATCTTCGCGAAAAGAGTCCAAGAGCAACAGCTTGGCAGATGACTAATATAGGGGCCTTAATAATTACAATAGGGCTTGGGGGGTGTATTGTACTATACTCATAAAAAGGAACCCCACAGCAGTATTGGTAATTGTTTAGGCCCTACATCAGCAACTTTTGGTACTGCTGTTCGCGAAACCTTTACGGCACGATACCGTACAGAAGTACAGAAGGTTGTGCAGCATCATCGGCAATCGATTTGCTGCGTGTCATGTGCACACAAGCAGGTTGCTCGTAGTAGTAGATGTTCCCATGCTCATGACCAATACAGGTGATGACGCACAGCTGCACAGCTGTCCCACCATGTTTCACTGATGCCAAACCTGGCAGACGCCATGAACTCGGCCACCAGACTACCGCTGTTAGCAAGCACGAATGCGGCGATTAATTGTCGGGCAACGTCAACACAATTTGCGAACAGTTGTTGATGCAGGTGACGAGTCCAGCACCGATGACGATCCCGACTGCAGTGATCCTGATGACTCTTGCTAGTGACCGTAATGAGGAGGGTGAGGATGATGATTCTGAGCATGATGGCGATGGTCATGACAATTCCGCTGATGACGATGTTGTTGCTCATGCATGGCGACGAGGAGCAGCTGCAGCTGCTGCTTGTTCAGAGGATGAAGGCCAGTACTAGTACAAGTACGACATTCATGCGCCTGGTGGTGGTGTTTGTGGAGGTGTGGCATTGGTGGCGACAGTACCAGCAGCGGACCAGCAGTAGCAAAGCACCATGACCAAACGTTGACAAATTAGCCCCAAATGGTCTGAGCCAAACCCTGACAAAGCATGATCGAGCTGTGGGGCTGGTTCTTGGTGATGTGCTGGCAGTTGCTGCGGTCCATGTCCTGGAGACGCAGATTTCAGAGAGAGGATTGGATGTTGGGATACTGTTACGGCTTACGTTCATAAGCTAGGACAGCAACGGCTGTACCGATAACTCCGAAACTAGTGGCAATCGGGCGAGTCACACCGTGAGGTCTAGCACTGAGCCACCGAACGCACTACTTTGCGACGGGTAAGAAGAAGGGATGTACGCTACTCGCCGCCCGAAATCAGGAACGCATGCGACTGGCAGTCTGGCTTCGGCAAAAAAGGCTTAAACGAAAACAAAATGACAAAAACAAACAACTGTTTTCTGTCACATTCATGTGGTCATACTTTGCATCCGGGAGCATGGTGCGTGAGAGGCGCACACCAAAAGCACCAGTCATGAGGCTTTGGCCATGGATTCTCTGCCCTTCCCAAATCGCAATAGACTGTTCAATAGACCATGGACGTCCCTAGGCTTTGGCCATGGATGCTTTGCCCCCCAAGACAAAGACCTCGTCACCGAAACGCCCTCCGTGTTCGACGTCCGCAAGAAAACCGTCATTGCACATGAAAAACGGACATTTCTATCACGACCAAAAAACCGATGCGAACACCGGCCGCAACCCCCCTTGACGACCTCGTGCTTGTTGCGCCCGACGAAGACAGCTTTGAGCAGAAGCAGAAAATGCTGTAAATACTACACTTCTCTGCGTTTCCGAAGATGCAACAACACCGCAAATACCGGTGAACTCGGCTCATTTCGGCTCCCTCTCGAAGCTGGACATCCGACCATGCCAAACCCCACCCAAGCGAAAAGTGCATACTTTTCGGGGCAGCGAGCAGCGTACATGCCAAGAAGACGAACAATAAACCAAACATAAGCAAGCAACAACAGTCGTGTGGATGGTGCTTGCTAGGGCTGGCCCTAGCCCGACTGAACTTTCCCCCTGTGGGCCTTGAAAGAAGGGAGGAGGTTGATGCGATGTCTCTGCACCTTCGATCGGATCTTGCCTCAGATGCCAAGAGCAAGCGACCCTCGCTCGACACCCTATAATGTAGTAGTACGTGATCTTAATTTCTACATAGTGTTATATTTCGATCTCTGATCTTAAGGGCCGCTGAAATGTAATGGGCCCCTATGGTTTTAACTGACCGAAGGCATCAACCCGGACATCAATCGCAGTAACCAGAGACTACGACCAGTGGTTCCCCCGTCGTCAGTCTGCTCGTTTCTACGCCATTCATTCCAACAGGCACCCAGCGAAACATATCTGGGAGTTTCAGAACATAGGGGACCCTAAGAGGGGGCAGTAACAAGACTAAGATAATTCTTATAGATCCTAGTTAATATCACCTTATCTCTCCATATATATATATATATATATATACATACATACATACATAGTTATGATTATCCGCAACCCGGTAGAGAAAGACCCCCCTGGCAGGTTTAGCCGGAGGCGCTCTCGAGCCACTCCCATTGCTTCAGCCTCTCCTGGGTGAGCACCACCTTGTTGCGCCTGGAAACACCAGGATTCAAGGCTTCGGCGGTTTGGGGTCTTGTCGCAAAGCGGGCACGGATTTCAGGGCGACTGGGGTTTAGGGTTTAAGGTATAGAGTTTAGAGTTGCTACGGGTTCACGCCAAACGATGTCTCACGGTGCATGGTCGGCTTGAGAGGAGGTATAGTGCAGGCTCTGCGTTCCAGGAAAAGTCTAACACGCAGGCGTACAAAGCCAGACTAAACGGCTTTAACGGCTTTAGGGTTTAGGGGCGCCTTGCCACCATCGTCGAAGTGGAGTCGGGCATGCTGGTCTGAGCCTGGGTAGATGTCGGGGCTTCTTCCAAGACAAGGGTGATTGCTTCCATGGTGTGTTTTAAACAATTGCCCTTGGGGGCCACAACTTGGGGCATCTCTGCATGTGGGAGGGGATATGAGGGGGATTTGCAAAGCGGGCGCACTGCGTCTCTGACCATGATAATGATATCGAGCGGTTGCGCTTCGCTCCTCTCAGTGGCTGAGAACACATAATTCCAGCAGGGTGCCGAGAAAGGCTGCAGACAGGCCACGAGGGGGTCTTTCTCCAGGTTGGGCGTCGCGAACTCCCTGTCGACATCCGCGCAGAAATCTCCATAGCCTGGGCAGCCCAGCACCCGCTATCGGGATCATGGAGTCGAGTCCAGCAACATAAGCAGCATGACTTCTTATTCAGCACTGTTTCGGTTTCCAGTCGCAAGGCAAACGAGTTGACGGAAGGGCGTTTCTACTCAAGAAGCTCTGCGGCTCAAACCCGTACACATGAATGCTCTGAGTTCAATTCCAAAGCCGTCAGCTGGGAGGACCGATCCGTGGCACCTGCATCAAACTCGTCAGATCAGCCGGGGGGCAGAACATACCATCTTCGCGCTCATAGCGGTGAAGGAGCTCCTCGTAATCCGCCGCCGTGACAATCTTCCCAAGGTCACAGATGGTCAAGACGGTCTTGACCTGAGAAGCTTTGCAAAATCCCTTCTTCAAGTGGTCGAAGTCTTGGAAGTATTCCTTGATGCGGACCCTCTTCTCCACGACCTTTGCGCGCAACTTGTCCACGATGGTGTAGAGTCCCTGGCTCCACTCTGACTCATCTGGCTTAAGGACCAGATCACTCCTGGGCACGGGCGGGGGCTCATGTGAGGACACTTCGGAGATGTCATTGTGCATGGCCATGAAGTGGACATCGCCTTTGTCCGTCATGTAATTGTTGGCGAGAATCTCCACGTCCTCAAGTGGAAACTCCTTCTTGAAAGGGAATCTCTTGATGAACTGCTCCCTGGTCACCTTCCCGCCCATAAATGGCGAAGTTCTTGCTGGTGATGCCACCGGAGCACGGTCAATGTCGAAGAAGACCTGTTTGAAGAGAAGCCCGCGCGCCTTGCAAAGGGCTGCCAAACGATGAAGGGCGTGCATGAACTTCTCCTCCTCTTCCGGAGAGCTTGGCTTAAACGACATAAGCTGAGTGGTGCTGGGTGAACAGGACATGTGATGCTCATCCGGGCTACCCACGAGATAGACTTGGTCGATTGCTTCACAGAACTTGATGTAGTTCACGATGGCCGGCGGAGCCACGTGCGCACCATGCTCCGTGAAGTGCTCTGCTAGGTCGTCGACTTCCTCCTCACTCAGCGCTGACATTCCCAACATGTTTACCGCCCTGGCAAAATTGATGATGGTGCATCGTCCGTGCTTGAGAGGATCGAAGTCATTGAAGAACTCCTTGACACGGATTCGTCGCGGGTACACGTACACCTGGATCTTGCTCACGAGCTCCGCGACGGCGCCGTCCATTTCTGCTAGCTGGCCGCGAACGAGGTAGGGCAGTGAGTCAGGCTGAGGCCGAAATCTGCATAGTCCGGAGCTGTGGTCTCAAGTTCTCAAGGTCCTATGATTCAGGACGCAAGGCACACAACACTTCCAGCTTCAGATCAGGAGCAGTGCCACGATTGCTTCGAGAAAAGAGGCAGTCTCGTATCTAACGTCGGACAGCATCGACTTTCTACGACACTAACCTTCAAGTGCCTGCCGCATGCCATATCCAGCCAGGAGACTCGGGTGGCATGCCAGCCCGCAACCCCTTGCACATCGAAGCAAAACCTGGCCTTCCGCCTCCATGGGCGCAACCTCTGCCGCCTCAGCCAAGCCGACCAGCTCAATCGAAAAGGTTCGTATGCCGATCAGAACAAAACAGGAGGCCTCCCGAATGCATTGTAGGCCTGCTTCCCTGTCGCAGACGACTGCCTCTGTTCATCCTGCTTGCTCTTATCATGGTGCGGCGATGAAACGACTGCATTTGACGGCCCTGTACGCTTCATCCTGACAGTGACAATAAGCCCTACAGCACACCGGCGTAGGCTCAGAGGCCCCCGCCCGGCCCCCAACCCCCAATCCCCAGCTGCTGAGGCAACGACTGCTGGCTTAGATGCCTGCGACGCAAGGCTGATCTTCGCGCCGATGTCGGGATTGCTTTAGCTGGTTCTCTGGTTCGAACGGTGAGAGTTTTTGAGTTACTGGTGATCCTGGTGTCGCACTGCCGTGTCGAGTTGGTCCCCAACCTTGGCGACCTTGGTAGTGATATCCATATATTCATACTAACAAAAGAGCAGATAATGCAATTAAGTATAAACTTCAAACTTCGTGATGTCCTTTGAGGTCTCTGGCAATTCTGCTAAGCCCTGCTGCTACTTATCGCAAGCTGGAGCCTCGGGCCGTTCTCTCAAACCAAGTGGGACATACTACGAAGAGGATCCATATGCACTATAGTCACTATATTATGGAATTAATTAGGTTCCCCCAAAACCACTATTCCGATGGTGTCTTGGGACCTAATTCCACAATGGTAGTGTATATGGGAGCTCTGGGCTATAGATGACTAAGCTAACGCCAAGCATCTCTTTTAACACGCTGACACCTGCTCCGCTCCTTTGCCCCGTATGGGGCAGCTCTTTCTCTTCGAGGAGAACTTCCTTAAGAAGCTATCGTCGCAGGAAACTCCTCACCTTCGCACCGTCGAAACTGATAACAGAGGGGCCTTAATAATTAGTATAGGGTTTTGGGGCCCGTTCTACTCTAAATAAGGAACCCCAAATAGCATAGGTCATGATTAAGGCCCCTATAGTAACGGAAAAAAGGGAGTCCCAACCACGCGGCGTGCGATTTTGCCCGTCCGCTATGGCGGCCCGATTCAAAGCCCTCCCTACTGCAGCACAACCAAGAAGACTTGAAGGCCTGGTGTTTCGCAACTTTCACCAGATTGTACTATATTAGACCCTGCTATATCATACTATATCATATTGTAGGCTGAATTAAAAAAATCTGTTCTAATGTGCCTACTGTTGGCACGGAATTTTCCTGTTCCTATGAGGCCTTCGGAGCAGGGAGCTCTCGGATAATTGAGATCTCGTGCATCAGGTGCTGGTGCCTGACATTGCAACGGTCCTGTCTGCATGGTATTTGGGACTATTGCAGGAGCTCTGGCACGGTCTCCCAGAGTTTGCGCTTTTTGAGCTTTTTCAGCATCATGTCCTTCAGCTTTTGCAGATAGGCTTCCTTGTCAGGTAGCTCTGGCAGCTTTTGCTGTGAGAGGCCCTGCTCGAGCGCCTTCTCCTCTGAGGATGTCTCTGAAGACTTCTTCTTTTTCCTGGGGATTGAGTTTGAGGTACCACAACAAGGAAACCATATTATTTAATATAGATCCCTATTATGGCAACTGCTTACATGACATCTCTTAACAAGAACCCAGTGTCTCCACTGGCAGCTCTGGCAGCTTTTCTGGCTCTGAGAGATTCGTTCTTTCCTCTGGCAGCTTCTCCTCGGAGGAGCTCGGCTTTTTCGTGGCACTCAGCCTCTGTCTCTGCCGTATGGTCTTTTCCACGTGGGCGCGGGGCAGATCGTGAATCTGATGACGCTTCGTGGAATTGGCTTTCGGAACTTGGGCACTTGCTGCCGTACCGGAGGAAGGGCACCCGACTGTGAAGAAGTAGGTTGACGTTGCTTGGCAAGTGACCAACCCCATGCCGTCATCGTAGGAATACCCATACACTCCTGGACACATGTGGTGGATGGCACCGACCTTACTTGAGTGATCCCACACGCATGTAGCCCAGAAGGTGAAGGAACCTGTGCTCCACAAGCACGGACTACTCTGAAGTCGAAAAGGAAGCTGGATGAAAGCAACCCCCGGAGGCTTTAGGGCCATTATAAGGTTTTATAAGGTTAATTACACTGATGAGAAAGCTGTCAAGCTGTCAGGAAGCGTACTTCGACCACTTGACGCTGCCAGCCCTGCACGCAGCAGGGGAAACCGGTGGCGTGGGGCAACAGTACTCCCGGCTGAACACGTCCATATTGTACTGCGTTGTGCTGAAACTGGCCCATTGATTCAGTGTCAGCTTGCTGCAGGGTGAATAGCAACCGGCAGCCGTACTCGCCGCGGGGTGCCTCACTTGAAGGTCCACAGTCGCATTGCCTGCACTGTCGAACGTGTGAAAGGTCTCGTCCTTGGGACAGTCATCCACACTCAGCCTCGAACAGTCCACGCTCTTCGCTGAAGCGTTCATGAGATGCCCGTCCGCATCCCAACAGCTGCCATGAATCTCAAACTTGAACGGGACGGTGTATCCATCTACCAGGCTGATATCCACCCAGTCGCAACCTTCCCGCATGCCTGGTTTCGGCCGGTCACTAGTTTAACACTGGACGACTCCGTGTCTGGTTCGCGCGATTAGAAAGGTCGCTTTTCGCAGCGGGCTGTTTGAGAAGCCTTGCACCACCCCAGCGAAGCCGTGAAGAGGTCCGAACGAAACCAACAACGACAACGGCAACGACACCACCGCAACAACCTTCAACACCACCACCACCACCACCACCACCACCACCACCACCACCACCACCACCACCACCACCACCACCACCACCACCACCACCACCACCACCACCACGCCAGAACCATCACCGGCAACCCCCCCCCACCCCGCTATCCCCACCACCAACGACAACGACATTGACACCATTTGACACCGTCACAGGCGTCATGACAAGCAACCACAAGCACTCCTGCAGATCCACCCCAGCGGCGTCGACCACGACAACAAGAGCCACGCACACTTACACTAACATATAAGTGGGTTTCGTCCATCCCTACAGAACAGAACGGCATCGAGTACAATAGTTTGCCCGGTCATGAAGCCTTCCAGAGGGCTGCAAGGCAGGCCAGAAACGCCAAAAGTGGCCTCAAACTTGGTGTCCACGGGCGGAGAGCCTTAGGTGACTGTCCAGGCAAAGGCAGAAGCTCAGGGGCTCGCACTGCAGGGTTCATAGGATCTCAGAAGGGTCCGTTTGGGGTTTCGGCGCTTACGCTCGGACAATCCAGGCGAGGCATATGCTTCGGAGTCTCTAGGGATTCGGGTAACGAAGATTTGATCCTGGTTTTGGCAAGGTCCGGATGCAAAACCCACCGGAAATCAAAAAAAGAAAAACCTTTACACCCACGGCCCAGAGGTCGCCCACAAGTGCACCCCGTTGTCCGGCAGCCCGGTTACAGCAAGAGCCCCCCCTTTCCCCCACTTCTTCAAAGCCTAAACCCGAAACCCTAAACCCTAAACCCTTAGGGTGTGGACCATTGACTCCCATGCACAGAGAGTGAAGCCCAGAAGCGCACCAAAGCAACAAACTATATACATGCGAAAACCTGGTTGAACCCGTATGAGGCCCCCAATGGCCTTGCAACTCTCTAACATCCCACACTTCTATACCCTATAGGAACATTTGCTCTCGACTTTTCTGTTCACAACTTAACTTGGCGGTCGCTGGTTTTGGGGATTAGGCATGGTTTAGGCTCTTGGGGTTTAGGACTTCGCGATCTAAGGTGAATTTTGCAGGGTTTCTTGAAACAGTGCCCAGGAACAGCCATCGGATCTGCAAATCTGCTGAGGTCCGCCGCTGTCACCAATCACGCACTTGTTTCCTTGGGCTTGGAGCTACCACACGCCGCAAGATTTGAGGCTGTGATGAGTTTTGGAGCTTTTGGTGCCTCGACATGAGGCCCTGAGCCCTTAAACGGTGAACCCTAAACCCCTAACCCCTACACCCTCCACCAGCTAGAGAAAGCTCTTCAGGACCAGCGGTGCTGGAGTCGAGAAGCTGCTTGCATGGGATCGCAGTTCTTCTTATCATAGTTCATACAGTTGTCGTAGTGTGTGTGTGTGTGTGTAGACTCACCCTGCGCCTGTGAAGTTACCAATTTACTATTATAGTCAGCTGCTGTTGTTGACCTAGCTGGTCAGATAGTACCCAGCGGGCAGAAAGACTTCATCACAGCTATTGAGATACCCAAACAGCCCAGGCGAGGTCCATGTGCAAAGAATCACAGGCCTAGACAGAAAACCATGAACCCTAAAGCCTAAACCCGAAATCCTGAAACCCCGAACCCCGTAAACCCTAACACCCTCAACGCTGAACCCAAAAGCCCCTTTCTGATCCTCTCCGGGACTCCGTCAGCATCGCAGCCGAACTTCGGCCAGTAGCGAGTACTGGTCCTGGGCCGGCGTAGGCGTCGGGAAATGCAGAGAAGATCCGACTCGTCATGTTTGTCAGCATATGACGTGACATGTATGTATAACTACACTTACATATACATATATATATATATATAAACACATAGACCTTTTACACACACACACATATATATATATATATATATATATATACATGTACATGTGCATATATGCACATGCACATGTGATATGTGTATGTATGTATGTATGTATATCTCTCTATGTATAAACCTGTATAAACTGTATATACATGTATGTAGCGGTAGGTACAGATATAGATACAGGTAGGAAGGCGGCACTTGCCTCAATGTTTGTGACTATAACTGCTACTGCTACTATCCCATCTATACAGACTCCGGAAGACACCAGAAGCCTGCAAGGGGGAAATCCCCTAAAGGTGACCCCATTATAGAAGCCTACAGTAGCCTCAGTACCCTTAAAGGGGACCCCATTAATTATGGCGCCCTATAGCTAGGCTGGAGACCCCCAAACTACCCAGAGCCGCGAGTCTGACCGTCCGGGGTCGTGAAGTTGTAACCTGGCAATGGCAAGGTTGAGTTATCTGCCTACAGTCACCAGTAAAGTAGATACATGTGCGTGTGGGTGTGTCTGTGTGTGTGTGTGTGCGCACGCACATATGCATACATGCATACACACGCACACACACACACCGGTACATATGTAAGTGTGTATATACATGTAAATGTACATATGTATGCATCTATGTACCTGTACCTGCCAATCTACCTATCTATCTTAATGCCTAGCTAGCCAGCTATCTATGCAACGGTGTGTAGCAAAAAGCAATCAAAACGAAACAGAGAGCGAGAGAGAGGGAGAGAGAGAGAGCGAGAGACAGAGACAAAGAGCCAAAGAGCGAGCGAGCGAGATGGCCAAATGAAAATCTATACACGGAGCTAGCTAGATGTACTCACAGAAGATGGATGTGCATAATGAACGCACGGACACCCTCACCAACAAACAGCACACCGCGTCGACCAATGATCTATCTGCAGAATTCCAGCCGATCAGGAACGGCTGCCTAAACCTCCAGCGGCCCTTCCGACTTCCGACACCAATGAGTCCACGTCCAGCCTGCAATAATAGACCTGATCCTTTCTTCTGGCCCTGGCCCAAGATCATCCAAAATCCAATAGATTCCCGATGCAGTTAGACAACTATATATATATATATATATATATATATATATATACTATACCAGTGATACTTACTCCTAACATACCCCAGATGGCATGAGTGCCCCTTTTCTAAACAAAGCCAAGGCCACTCCCTCCTGGCGGGATCCTGAGCGATTCTTGGAACGTTGTTCAAGACATGAGAGCAATGAGGCACGTGAAAAGCTCGAGCTCAGAGCCCCATTATGCTTTAAGGTATATGGGAGTTCAGTTAAAATAGGGGTCCCTAAAATAGTGCCCTAAATAGTAGGATTTACCGGCTGATCATCGGTTTGCGGAAGGTGTTCGTTGAGGGTTGGGATAATGCAATAGAACGTTTGATGTAACAGTTGGAGGTGCTTTCCATCCTACTTAAATTGGTGGTGTAGGATTTGGGCTTCTCTCCGCTCCCGGCGTGAAGCAGAAGCCTCAAAAGTCGAGCAAGCACTGTCAATCATTATCATGCATTATGTAATGTACCTAATGCACGAATATGTTGTGAATAAATTGTACTACCTATTACCCAAAATTATTCACACATACACTTGCACACATAGATATCTGCATGACAAGGAATCTTATTTCAGACTCTTGCAGCCGAAGGATCTTGACGTTTTGGGGATCTGGTCCGGTTGTGGTGCCGGCCATGTGACCGATCCATACATCCTGCGCTGAGAGGCTCAGGTCTGGATCTCGACGGAGTTACTATAGGGTTTAGAGCTTTTGGGTAATATCGGAGCCCTAATTTTCAAAATAGGGTTTGGGGTATACTATACTATAACACTCTAAAATTATAACTATAATGGTGACCCCTGAGGAAGAATTAGGACCTTCCAACTGTCCAGTTGAGGACGCAGAATCGGTTCCCCTGACTGGGCTCTGTATCCTGTCGAAAACGACGACTGTGTTGCACAGTCCAGGTCCAAATAGACCAATTACTCCTTCCCCGAATACCAGATCGGAGCCACTTGACAGGGGCAGGACACGAGCTTTTTTTCTCTACTCAGCGAAATGCAGCCTTTCTTCAGCTTTTCGTTCGTTCATGCCTACCCCTTTAACGTGTGTTTTTCAGTCATGCGCCGGTCGTACAGAATATTGTTAGTTTCCCTATTAACCTGGCAATGAGAGCAGCTCGCGGTCGCAAAGGCCAAATCCACAGTTCCTTCCATGACCGGGCCTCCTTGTCGCAGCCGTTATGCACGACCAGGCGGTGGTGGGAGACCAGCGGCAACGGTGGGGATTTCGGCAGGGGCGGCAGCTTTGGCAGTGGCCTGGGCTAGATTGGGGTCCCAGCAGTTGGGAGTTAGTAAGAAAAGTTTGCAGTGGCCGGAGTCATTCCAGAACTCGACCAGACTCCTGTATACGTCCTAGGTCCTACGTGTCTTGTCCCAATACACCCTGACCCTACATAAATGTCTCCTGCCTCCTAAACCCGAAATCCTCCCTCTTGCTCCCTTGTCTCCCTGCTTCGATAAGGCCAAGTTGCGACACATCCCCCAGATCGCCTGAGCTTCCATCAATGCCGCTCTGGCACACTCGTTTACGCTATCGCAACTCGGACAAGCGACACACTTGTTTCTGCGCTCACACTCGCATAATCCAGGCGAGGCATATGGTGTGTTTAGGGTTTGCGCTTGGTACACTTCTCGGGTGCAGGGTTTCCTTTCCAAGCGCGTGCCATCTGGCTCGTGGCCAGCTGCGGCACGCTCGGCAGCGGCTCTGTTTAGGAGACCCCTGACGAATCGTCTACGACGCAACGCCCCTAACCCGGCTCTTCCTTTTAGCGCTCCCGAAAAGGATCCATACGAGTTTCTATAGGGTTGCTATAAGGGTACTATACATTTGACTCTTGACTTGGATAAAACGTTTACTCATTGCAAATAGAACCGGTGCTTCTTAGACAGGCTCCTACATGACATGGGAGATTTGGGGGTCCTTACTGGTACTATATTAAATGTTGCGGTCCCCTTATTTGCGGACACCCCCACATAATGTTATCAGGGGCAAGTTGCTTTGCAGAAACTCGCGGCAGTAGCAAGGCCATGCCACCCACAGAAGCCATCTGCTCCGCATGACTGGGGACTGGAATCTAACAGTCGCCCTGACTAAACGACTGGGACTAAGGCCAAGGCCGCCTAACCATGTAATGTGATCGTATATCACGTACTGAAGTGCGACCATGTTTTTGTCGTCAACACATGAAGTGCTTTGAAGCCAGTCAAAATGCGGCTTTCTGGACAGATTGCTGCGGATCCCGTGCAACTTTGCAGTTGGGAACGGCATTTCATGCTCAAAGATCCACAGGTCAAACCGCACCTACAGGCCCAGAGCGCAATCTGATGTAATCCCTTGCCTGAGCTCGCTTCCCTGCGCCACTCCCCATGCAAGCATGGCAGGTGCAGGGGCTTGGGGCTGGAAGGGCTCCGGCTGCGCCGAAAGGGCTTTCATGGTGAATGTTCAGGGTCGAGCTAAGTGCTAGCTTCGATGTTCTCTGCTGCAAGAAGTCTCTAGCTTTCGGGATGCCATCCGGGTGCGACCATGCCACGTCTCAGTCGGCTTAGATGAACTGAACTGAAGGCTATGGTTTCAAAGCTACCTTGCCAAGGCCCTGCTGTCTAAAAGAAGCATGGGGCCCCGAAAGCATCACTCTGAAGGTCTTCCCGCTTGTGCTTAAACCTTCATTATGAATTCCAAACTGCACGATCGAATTAATCATTCATCTGACTCATCTGACCGAGTTAAAAAACGAATTTGGCTCTTGCTTGAGAAGCACAGCAGCGCGGACTGGAAGGATCAAGGTGTATGAAATCTACTATAGGGGCCGTAATGACGAGAATAGGGCTTTTGGGTCTATGACTATGATACTATAGTCAAAAGAAGGAACCCCCTATAGTACCATCTTTAAGATGCCCTACCTTTGCTGCCGAAGAGGATGACCCCCCCCAAAATCGGCAAATGCAAGGCAATGGCGGCAACTGAGAAGTTGCAGCTTGAACTTGAACCATATCATTTCTCTTCGCCCCTCTTCGCAGTAGACATTTACCTTTTTCTGTGATGCAACTCGCGATACATGGAAGTGAGGTCGACCCTTCAGCAGCACTACGAACCCTCGAGTTAAGCGCGACAGGAGCCTCTTCTCTGCGTTTCTTTCCCACCGATTCCCTAAACCCTAAGTTCTTGCGGGCTTGAAGTCGGCCGGGGAAAGTGAATAGGCAACAGCAGCATCGAGCCAAGATGTAGCACTACTAAAACCCTAAACCCTAAACCCTAAACCCTTAGCCTTAACCCTATACTGGCTACAGTTCATGAAACCCTGAACCCTCAAGGCAGATGTCTCAACAACTCCGGCTCTGACGATATCGAAGCTGATCTGAGCAGTTTGAGCTCCCGACTCCCTGGAGGGCCTCAGAAGCACAAAGCGAACTCATCTGGGGCCTTCTGACTTATATACTTATTATGTATGTAAAGAAATACAAATATATATAGAGAGAGAGAGAGAGAGTATATATATATATATATAGGTACATATATATATATACAGATAGTTAGATACATAGATAGATAGTAGATAGATCAACCATGATCAGTCTAGAATATGAGGACGCCAGAATTGAGTCGGGCTTCGTAAAGGAAGAAGCCTATACAATCTATGCTATTCTCGCAGCTGTGGAGAGCAGGGTTGATGTCCCACCCACGTGCCAAGCGCACAAACCTACCAAGCACCTGAGGCTTTCTCCCTGTCGTGCTGGTGCTCGCGTACGCGACGGCCAGACAAGATGAACGTGGTTGAAAGTACGGTTCCAGCCTGTCTCCATTCGTCGTGACGGGCCATGATTCGCCACGTCACGAGAGGAACGCTGAGGGTCTCTTGGAAACACATGGTTCATGGTGGTGTTCTTGCAGCCGCTTCTGTTGGACATGGTGCAAGCCGTAGCCTATACTGTGATCTACCCGTCATAGTGAACAGAGAGCGCTAGGTGCCCAGGCTGTAGGATAGTCAACACCATCACCAGGTTGAATCCGTCACCAATTACCTAGTGACGTCGCCTGCGAAGTATGTAGCAGCGCAACGTGCGCAGCAAAGGGATGGCAGGTTTCTGCACCCCTGCTGCAAGAGCAGAGTATCATCCGATACTCCCCAAAACATGATAATTATTTTTCATACATTTGGGGGTTGTCCTGACCCCCATGGAGCCGGTTGAATTGAGAAAATGCACATGCTGTAGGCATAGTGCTTGAAAAGAATCGTGCATTGTGCCTCCTGACACCACGCCCCCAGCACTGTGGGAACTCCAAAGACGCGGAGCTTCTTCAAAAAAATGTTATGGAGACAACTTCGACAGAAGGACTATATGGTAACACTGAATGCGCTCCTCCATGCTATCTTGTATACTAAAGGCGCAACCTGTCCCGCGTGCTGTTCCCGACACGGACTGCTAAACATGGGAACTGCAGTCCGACTCTAAGACTCATCATCTGATCTCCAGAAGTTGCAAGGACCCTCTCAGAACTGGTGTGTTGCTACTAGCTGAACTCATGGAGGATCCTGGTATTGGCGACCAGATTTCATCTTGCACGGCTCTTTCGCAGGCGCGGTGAGGAGCAAACTGAATTCTGCGAACAAAGCACCGAATGGGGTTGTGCTTGCAGCACGCCAGACGACGCTTCGGGCCATCAGGTCGGCTCATGCTGTAGCTGCGATCCCTTTTCCTAGCCCATGGTAACCAGTAGCTCTGATGTGACTACGCAGTCGCAGTCTTCTCTTAACTGCCTCTCTTTTTCTCAGTCGACCACCGGGCCAGAAGCGAAGGTCTGGCTGCCGAGGCGACCGAAGCTCTTCGGGCTCTGCATGCTGTTGTGGCGGCTCGGATCCTCCACGAGCTCCGTGGCATCGCTGTTCTCTTCGAAAAGGCCTTCGTCTGCGGGAGTCAGGGAGCTCGATCCTTCGAGCGCATCGAACCTAGTCCATGGTTGGGTAAGATTAAACATCTACATTTTTGTTCCTCATAGGGTTTAAGTACCCACAAAAACATAAAATGCTACCCAACTGTGACAAAGGAACCGTGCCTTAGGCCGATCCGACGCCTGGGACTGGGCCATGATGGATCCTGGCGAGGAGCCAGTGAGCCCCGAAGCTCGGATTCCAAGCTTGATGCAGATCTCCCTCAAGATCCGGTCCTGCTCATCGAACCTGGGGCTTCTTACCTTTGGTAGGGAAGGGAGGAATGGGGGTATAATTATTATTACTTTTACTACCATTCTTCCATTCCCTACTAACCAAAGGTAAGGCTTTTGCCAAGTAAGGGACCCTCATCTACTGTAAACGCTATAGCCCCCGAACCGAACCACTAGGATCTATTCCTCTCTTATACGGGACCCCCACACAAAAGACCTTCTGGCCCCAGTTTTGCAGGACCCGGCCCCACCTATGACAGGTCATCTTCTGAAGCTTTTCCGAGTCATCCTCCTTGTCGGCTCGCTCCTCCGGCCAGAATAGAAAAACTCAAAGCAATAGATAACAATAACAGAAAAACCAACAAAAAAAACAATAAAACAACAGTTATGGTAAGCATAGTCGCAATTATAATCATAGAAGTGAACATAATACCCGTAACAATAATAACAATAGCCATCATCATCACCATAAGGCAATAATTGTAATCATCGTCATAGCCAGAATCGCTATGTTGTAATGTAATAATAGTAGTAATGCTAACAAGAATAGTAGTAATAAGGAGAAGGATAATCAGAGTATTAATAATGTTGATAGTGTCAAAAAGTCGTAGTCATCATAACTTGTAGGTATATTTAAAGAACATATACAGTACTAGATTGTACGACATTCTACTATGTTTGCAATAATACTGATGCCATACCATACAATAGCATGATCTACGATTATACCATCTCTTACTTTTCCTCCTTATCAGCATATGTAAACAGACACACACACGTCTATGTATATATATATATATATACACATACATGTACACATATATGGTAGTGTGCGTGTATATACATATATATATATATACACATGTTATAGGAATCTACTATACTCTTTCCTACTTTACATTGTACCCATGCCAAAAAATACAATTATCTACCCTTAGTGTCATCTCATACTTCTCTCCTACTTTATATACCTGCTCATTTCATAATTACATGAATAATAGTAATGCGTAATCATACACTATACTATGTCCTACTTTATCAGCTTCTCCTCGGGCCAGGGAAGCTCCATGGAGGCGAGGCCACCGAAGCGTCGGACGCGGTCCAACTCCACACTGGGACTTTTCAGGTGCTCCTTAAAGGGAACTCCAGAAAGTTGGAATATGGTTTCATGGTAGGATACCTTATAATTTACCATAGAAGGGTTAGGATAATCATATTCCAACTTTCTGGCTTTTACCTTAGCAGGGTTTGACACTTCTCGATTTGTGCGAGGGTTTTAGGTTTTCGGCGCTCGCAACTCGGACATGCCTGACGACGTCTCTGGTGCGCGTGTGCTTTGACGGTCGGATCTACCAGCTGACTTTCAGTGCTGCACCACAGGGAGCATTGAACAATGCAAACAGCCGAAATACTTAGAAGGGGTTTAGGTTTTAGGGTCTTAGGGTTTCGGGGTTTTGGAGTTTCGGGTCTGGGGTTGTTTACGCCCTCGCCACTCGGACACAGCCAGACGAGGTTACTGCGTTAGGGTTTGAGGGGCTTAGCCGTTTAGGGCTTTAGGGGTTTATAGGGTTTCTGGTTTAAGTGCTCCTTCCTTGGTAGGGTTTAGGAAGTTTAGGTCTTAGGGGCTCCTCACTTCGCCCTCTTTTGCCTCAGGCCTAAGAGCTCCTTTCGATGCGCTTTGGGTTTGGGGTTTAGGATGGTTTAGGGCTTTCAGGGTTTAAACGTAGGGTTCCGGGTTGTAGCTGGTTTCTAGCCACTCATAATGCTTAAAGATTATGTACAACTATGTGAGGCCAAGGCTCGAAAGGGCCTTCTGCAGTGGCCACGCCTCCACGTGGTCCCACGTCGCCCTCATCGAGCTCGCAGGGTTCCTCTAGCTTCAATGACTCCACGAACCC